TGTGTTCGATCTTTTCTAGTATTATTTTTTGGAAGAATTTAAAGACTTAATTCTGTGACTCGTCTTAAATCAGATTAGTCGCGAACTGGATAAGAACACGAAAAAATATATATCCAATAATAGTTTATATCTCATTTTGTGTGCATTTTAGATAATCAGTATTTGAGGTGAATCAAATAATAATAAGATGTGATTTAATTAATAAACAAAAGTACTTTTTAGAACACAATTTTATTTTTTTAAATTATTTTTTTAAATATTATTTTTCTTACATATTTATATATTAATTCATATTTTAAAGTATTAAAAGATTCTAAAAGTCATAATTTAAAATAAAATATATTAAATTACATAAATAACTTGTAAAAACTCGTAAAATTAATAAAATATATCTTCCACAAATAAAATTCTTAAAAATAAATTTTAAATTAATTATAACATTTATATAACATGACAAAAACAATTAGAATAACCTTAACACGAAATAATTAATTCATAATGCTACACAAAATAATTCAATTTAAATTATAGTTCGAGTTTATGTCAAGCACATTACATGTAAAATAGTGTTAGAAATTTATTTCTGGATGCCAGTTAATAAAAATATTTTTCCAATACACATATATCGGTATTGGTTAACCGCGGTGTTAGCCAGTGTTTCCTTTCCTGTTTTCACTATCATACCCATCAAATAAGGCCAATCTTGCCAGTTGCCGGCCAACACATAAAATATCCCGAATAACAAAAACAAATGCAAGTAAATTCAGCTGTCAATAATGAATGTACCAATATTCTATGGTGGTGTAATTATTTCTTGTATGACTTTTAGATGAAATGAAAATTAATACTTTTATATTTAACAATGAATTTCTTTAGTGAATAATTTCTCAATAATAAAAATTATAGAAAGTTAAATATATGCAATGTATATTTTAATTATTTATACGAATTGAATATTACAAAATATAATTGAACATGATATATTATTTAAAATATTCTATTAATACTGAATGTATTAATTTTAAAGTATTAGAAAAAAATTAATATTATTGTTAAATTTATTTTATTTATATTTATTTATATTTTTTATAACTTTATTTTAAAATTATTAAATACCATAAATATTCATAACTATTTGGTGCTGCGTCGTACGTACTAATAGCGTGTTGACATTCATGGATATCCGATCGAACCACATGGCCAACCAGCACCAACAACCGTTGCGCCACTCAAGCTCCGCCAAGCTACACCAATAACCATTGACTCAATGTATTTAAGATAATTTCTAAAATAGCAATAATTTTACAATATTTATTATCTTGATAATTAAATATTAAATATTATTTATTATATTAAAATGTCGAATGCTATCATGTGACACTCTGATCCCATTGAACCCCTAACGAGTTCCACCACATTAATTTAATAAATAATTTTCAAATGCTATAAAATTGATAGAAAATTTAATTAGTTGGCGATACTATTAAATTTTATAATTAGTTCTTCTATATGTTTTAAATGCTATTTTGAATTGATATACAGTTATAATAAAAACTTCTTGCATTCTCATCTAATTATATATTCTTAATTATTAAAATAGTTTTACTAACATGACCACTAATATATTCATGATATATTAAGATATTATTAAATAATATATATCGTAACAAACTTTGAAATAAAAAATGCATCAAATTTAAACTCGTTAAAATACATTAGAAGCCCAATAACTCTTGAACCAAAAGAGAATCATTGTAACGATCTAGTTCTTTTTGCTATTGCCTCTGTGTGCAAAGTAAGACCAATCAAGGGGTTTTTGAGTTTTTTTTTTTTTTTTTTTTTTTTTTTTGGGGTCACTAGTTCCAGTCAAAAAGTGACTGATGACAAGTCTAGTACTTATTTTATTTGTACAAAAATGTGAACCATGCTAGGCGTCAAGAGCTTAGTGATGTTTTTGGTTTTAAGTTCGTGTCTGATTTAGTTAGATACCTGCCTCTTCTTAATAAAAGGTTATATTTTGGATAGTAACTCAACAATATTGTATACAAGATAGGCAAGTTCTCTTTTTCTGGCTGGTTGTTTCACCTTTTCTCATTTGAACTTGTTTTCTATACCTTATGCTATGTAAACCAACTTTCTCCCAAAGGATGTATATAATCAAGCTAATAAAGGTAAGGTAGGTCAATCAACTCGTCTAAAATGATTACAACATACAACTCACGTATCAACTTTTACAGGTTAAAAGTGTTGACTTGTTGAGCCATAATTTTTTATGCCATATCAAACAGCTATATGGGGGTGTTTGATATATGGGCTTTTTTTGTATTCTGCGAAATTGGTATTGGAAATTTTGTGTACCTATATATGGTAGAAGATTTTAAATTTTTTTTTTTATGGAATCTGATTTGTGAACAAATTGTATAGCAAAATGACATTCAAGAATACCATCACGAAGGAGTGTTATTCTTGGAATCCCGGGTATTGGAAAATTTTGACATTCCCAAATTTTTTTAATAATCAACTAAATATAGAATCAGTAAATTTGATCTAATATTTTCAGTAATATCACTACTAGAAAAAATCTCTATAGCGACGGAATTGCTATGAAAATTCTGTCGCTAATTTCATCCTCTATACTACTTTCCGTCGCAAATTTCCTCGCAAAATCGTTTGCGAGGGAATTTGTGACGGAAAGTAGTAGCGAGGATGAAATTAGCGACGGAATTTCCATAGCAATTCCGTCGCTATACAAGTTTTTTCTAGTAGTGTATTTTTATCTACCAAATAATTTTTTTGGTCACATTTTTGGAAAATTCATTTTCCCAACATATTCTTGGTAATTATAATTATCGGGTAAATTTTTTTTTTCCGGTATATATGTTGGAATTTTTTCACCTTATTTAGATGAAAGACTTTGGACGAAAAAAACAATATTAAATTAAATGTTTTTGTAAAAGGTTAAATTTTTTTTTTGGATATCCTAGCAATTATTTACAAAACATAAATATCGTAGCAAAATCAGAGGAAATGGATGACAAAAAGGAAGAAATGCTCATAGGAGACAAGATTTGTGTTAGGTGGTCTACGTGAATCACATTAATCCCAAAATATCGACTTGTGTTAGTTTGAGTAGAAGAAGTTTGAGTTTCTTAATTAAGTATGTGGTCTTGAATACAATCTCGTAATTGCATGTATAAAATTATTGTTGGGATGAGTCTCGTCTTTAACGCTTAACTATAGTTTTGGAGATTAATTTTTCACCTCCCAAATAAATCTTTCACAAGACATTTGAAAAAGATTAGCCCCTACAACAATACTCAACTACCACGAAAACATGCAATACATAGCAGGTTGGGGTTTCTTGTGACTATAATAACATATAAATACAACATTTAAAATTATTTTTGAATTTTTGTATAATGAAATTTTTGTTTTGAGTGCAATTTTCAATTTTAAATGATTATGTCAGTTCACGTGATATAATTTACTTCATTGATACTTGTGTATATTAAAAAATATAACTATATATTAAATATAAGAATTTAATTTTGATATAGTTAGTTTTAAATATTTTTATATTACTATTTTAATTTATATTATTATTTATTTATAAGTTTAATATCTTAATAATTTATAAAGAGTCATAGTCATTTTACACCGATATAAATTACATTCATAATCTAAGTTATTTATTTTATTTATATTTAATAATTTTAATTTATTAAATATATGATTAGTTAGATGTAAATAAATTAAAGATCAATTTTTTTGATATAAAACTTAAGAATAACTTATCTCATACATGATGATATATTATTATAGAGAAAAATATTTATTCTTTTAAGTGACACAATTTATATTCTTTCACTCTCATAAAGAGGTGAGACCCACACTTTTTATTTTTTTGTCAACTTTCTCTCCTCCTTTATCTATCTTTTTCTCTCTCTTAAAATGACATAACTTTAAATCCATTAAAATGACACACACTTTTCTCATTATTATATATAAGTATGAAAATATTTTTGAAAAGGAAAAAAAAAATGACACATCGCTTACCAAAAGGAGGAGACTAAATGTTACGTCCAGGCAGAGGCAATCGGGTTAGGAGCACCAAACTAGTACTCCAAATTCCAAAAGTCCAAATCCAAACATCGAAAGCAAACGTGAGAAGATTGGGGAAAAGAACAGAAGAAAAGAGAAAATTAACTTTTTTATTTTTTATAAATTATATTATGTATTTTCGAAATACATTCATACTATATACTTCCAAAAAATACACAATGTAATTTATAAAAAAAATTGTAAATGAATTTTTTTCCAATTTCATATGATCAAACTTTTTTTATATTTTTTGGAAACTATATGTTCAAAGTTCAAACCCACTTTTGGCAAGCCTATAGCCGCAAACAAATTTCTTACCCAGCCACGCGCCTCCAACATCTTGTGCCAAACACTATCCTCGAACCACACGCTAATGAGAGGTTTAAGGATGTATTAATAAACAATATTATATGAAAATAGATAATATCATGTTTTATTTAATATGACATGGTTAGGAAAATTATAATTAGTGAATTAATAATAATAATAATTTTATAATTATTTATTTCAATATTTTATTTTTCTCATCCCCTTATGATTGTTGATTATATGGTTATAATTCCCCCATCAATAAATAATCACCAACGCATCATTTATTAAATTAAATAGCTGTTTAGATCTTGGTGTTATTAGAACTATTTTACTTTTTCTATATCATTATATCGGTGGTAAAATGATCCTAACTCAAAATATATATATATGATTAATATTTTTTCATATGACTCCACATATTACGAGTATTTAGTATATTGAATTTAAAAAAATAGATTAACTTTTAAAGAAAGATATTCTAATTTAATAGGGACACTCGGTTTCTAAGCTATTTATACATTTGAAAATCCGAACCGGGACGTAGGAACACGCCACCATCTATTATATAATACAGCCAAATACGACACTGTACTCCACCTTGGTCATAGCGTTTTTGTTTGGTTCTTTCGTTCACCGGTGCTTCACTATCTAATCCAATTCAACTCACAAAGCCATCACCTCGATTTCAAGGCACATAGCAATTCCTTTTTTCTTTTTCTTTTTTTATCCTCTTTTCTTGATCCTGTTTTGGGCGTTTGGTTTTCTGGGAGATAATGTCTACAGTGGAGTCAGAGAAGAAGAAGAAGAAGGAAGCGTTCGACGCAGAAGCGGGTTCGCTGCTGATGAAGGAGCTGAGGGGAACCTTCGCTTCTGGCAAAACGCGAAGTTACGAGTGGAGAGTTTCGCAGCTCAACGCACTCTCCAACCTCCTCGTCGATCACGAGCAACAGATCGTCGATGCTCTTCTCAACGACCTCGCCAAGCCGCCACTCGAAACCGTCGTTTACGAGGTTTCTCCGTTCTACGTTTTCTGAGTTTCCCAATGTCGTTTCTTCCATCGCTCTTACTTGGTTTGCGTTTTAGATTTTTTATTAATTAATATTATTATTGATTTCGTAAGAAAGATAGTAAAGTAAATTTAATGAACACTCCACTCCATAAATAATAATAATAATAATAATTGTTATTATTATTTTGCTTCGTGCAATTATGTGTGAACTCGGAAATACCGACAATGTTTGACCTCGGTAATAACAATATTCCGAAAATTGTTATCAGGTGGGTTTTGTGAAGACATGCTCTGCTATGATGGAGACTGAAAAATCTGAACATAGTGTGTTTGCTGTGTTAACTCTATTGTTGTCAAATGCGCTATGCTTGATGAGTTGTTGTGTAGTTCATTTATTATGGGGTCCAGTTTTACGGGGACAAAACGAGTGATGTCTGTCCTCGATTCAGAAATTCTGAGTGGAGTGGATTCTACATGTAACGCTTTTGGTGTCTGTGTCATTGTTCACGTGTTGTGCAGTTTTTTGTGGCACTATTTTTTCATTTTTTTTTATTTATTAATTAGGAGATTTGTCTGTGAAGATGGTTAGCATGTCGTTCCCTTTGGTGATGGAAATGTTGCTATAGGGATCATGGGTGTTTTGGTGTGAGCATTAATGGCGCTGTCTTTAGGTCCCACTTGACTTTCTCGTTTTGGGGTGGGCCAATCTTGTGGTCCTCTCAACATTTTCCTGTGAATCTTTGATAGGTGGCTTCGGTTCTTATATTTATTGCCAGTGCCACAAACTTTACAATGATCGAATTTTTTCTTAACCTACTTTCACAGGATGTATTGTTGTAGAACACCTCGTCCTTGGTCCGTACAGGAGCATTGATGATGCTCAATTTTTTTTTAAAAAAAAAGAATGGAGTCATGTTGCATTAAAAATGAAAAAGTTGGCAAGAAAATGGGTGTAAATGCAGTTAAATGAGTCCATTATGTTTCTAGTTTAAGCAGGTGTGGTATGTAGAATAGGAGCACTGAAAATTTGTCCGTTGTTTAGGTGTTCATGCATTAAGTGTGAGCCGGGATTTGTCTTTCTGGTTGATCAAAAGCACTAGCATTATTTCATGAGGTTGACAAACAGGATTTCAGTTTAGCACTGAGATGTCACTGGTTATAGTATAATCAAATTACTAAGTGACACATGCCCACCTAATTGGATACTTATAAGGACAATTCAGTTCACACATTATGTGCTTATTTAAACAGGAAAATCTATGCCACAATGGGGACTGGCTAAACTGGTGGGGTCGAACAGTATCAACGCAAAAGTCATGAGTTCAATCCTACGGGTGGTTTAAGTACCTCTATCTCTCTTTGAGACTTGTGGCACACCTTGACCCTAAAATACTGCATCCTCCCCTCCCCAATAAACTTTTTGTTACCAAAAAAACAAATGAATATCTTTGTGTTTGGAGAAGATCCAACGGGTCTTGCTCTATTACACTTCTATATTTTTAAGTAATACCAAAGTGTATAGCAGCAATCCGTAGTTAAAACTCTCAAAATATCAATAATCATTTTGATTAGGTTTATGCACATTGAATTGGTGATTTCTTATTTGAAATATTTTGTATCTTAGACTGCTCTTGCTGCTCTGTTCTGCCTAACTTGTTTCTCCAATCTTTTCACTTATTGTTGCGTGGTGTTGAAGTTTATAAGATTTCATTACATTGATGCGTCTGTGTATGGATTGGAGATCTCTGATGACATGCAACCAGTGGTCCTGTATATTCAATCATTAATACCCGAGCAAGTGAACCAGTTGTAGTGCTTATCATCTAGAAAATCACAGAAATTTTTTATTATACCACTCATTTTCCTTTTGACAGTCAGCTAATTAGGAAAAGACACAATCTATTTTAGCCCAGATACTGGAAAGTTTATTAAAAATTAACTTAAGACGTAATATTTGCATCTAAACAAACATTTTGGAGCCCTTAATGAGGACATGAAGCTGAAAATGTGGAATGCAAACCTAATTTCCTGACCATTTCTTATGAGTTGTTGAAGGGTTGGTGTAATCAACATAAGGGTGTTAAATATGATATTTTCCATCTTGTCGTAACTGGTGTAGTTTGTATTGCAGATTGCTATGTTGAAAAACTCATGTAAAGTTGCACTCAAGGAATTGAAACATTGGATGGCTTCGGAAAAGGTATATTTTATGTGAAGTTCTTCCACTGACATTGCTTACAACTCTCTTGATGTATCACCTGAATTTCCCTTTACTGCAGGTCAAAACTTCACTCACAACTTTTCCTTCTTCGGCTGAAATAGTATCTGAACCACTGGGAGTTGTGTTAATCATCTCTGCATGGAACTATCCATTATGTATGTAAATATTTAGTTGACCTTGTTTTATATGTTTTGAGCTCACATCACACCTTTTCCTTCCCTCCGAGCTCTATTTTTATTATTTATAATGACGATAATATTGCATTGTCTATCTGTATTTCCAGTGTTATCACTTGATCCAGTCGTTGGAGCTATCGCTGCTGGTAACGCTGTGGTTCTAAAACCATCAGAAATTGCTCCAGCCATGTCATCACTGCTAGCAAAACTGTTAGGGGAGCACATGGATAACTCATCTATAAGAGTTGTTGAGGGGGCAGTAGATGAAACATCCGCATTACTGCAGCAAAAGTGGGACAAAATTTTCTATACAGGTTCTTCCTGTTTGTTTCTCATCTGGTTTTCTTTGATGGTTTTGAATCCTGAAATAATTTTCTGTTTTTCTCAGATACAATTTTCCTTATGGTTGGTCTTACTTTAGATATACAAATGTGATTTTGATTTCCCTTTTTGGATAAGTGCATTATTTTACCAGAAAAAAGAAGTAAAAGAATAAAAATTATTGAATTCTAGCTGTTCTTGAATGTTTGCTTGGAAATTTTATTACAATGATACTTTGGTCTGTGGATGTTCTTAACGCAAGCAATTGTTGGGTTTTTAGGTAATGGAAGAGTGGGACGCATTGTGATGGCTGCTGCTGCAAAACACCTTACACCAGTTGTGTTGGAGCTTGGAGGAAAATCTCCAGTTGTTGTTGATTCAAATATCAATTTGAAGGTATAACGTATCCTCTCTTTTGTCCTTACTAATTACTTGCTGTCTCCCTGACCTCCTTGCATCTCAATTTTGACTTAAATTAAATTTGAATTGGCAAGGTAGCAACTAGACGTATAATTGCAGGAAAGTGGGGTTGTAACAATGGACAAGCCTGCATTTCTCCAGATTATGTTATAACAACAAAAGACTATGCTCCCAAGTTGGTAAGTTTTTCCCAAGTGTAGTTAGAATTCTAATTCTGTCTGTTTGTTTAGTGTTTGCTGTCTCCTATTTCTAGGTGGATGCCCTAAAGACTGAATTGGAGAAATTTTATGGAAAGAACCCATTGGAATCAAAAGATTTGTCCCGTATTGTGAACTCCAACCACTTTGCTCGCTTGGCAAAGCTCTTGGACGATGATAAGGTTTCTGGTAAGATTGTTTATGGGGGTGAAAAGGATGAAGGCAAATTGTAAGCTCTCTCTCTCTCTCTCTCTTCTTTTTGGGGTACTTTGTTGATGAAGTCTTCATTTAGTGAAGTGCAATATTTCTTGACTCTAAATTTCTCTTTTATCTCAAATTATAGGAGGATTAGCCCCACTGTTCTATTGGATGTCCCGCGAGATTCTCTGATAATGAGTGAGGAGATATTTGGTCCTTTACTTCCTATCCTCACGGTAAGAATTAAGACACCACAGTAACTGTTTCCGTGAGATTTTCTTTAAAATCTCATTGTTTTCTTTAGTTGCTTACTTGCTTTTACAATATTTGAATGAAAACAAATATGCACGTAGTTTTTCAAATGGTTTACAAGCTGCAAGAATTTGATATGTTCCTCTACATATGTTTCTGTGAGATTTTCTTACTTGCTTTTACAATATTTGAATGAAAACAAATATGCACGTTGTTTTTCAAATGGTTTACAAGCTGCAAGAATTGGTTCATCTTCATATGTTTCTGTGAGATTTTCTTCAAAATCCCATTGTTTTCTTTGATCGCTTACTTGCTTTTATAATAGTTGAATGAAAACAAATATGCACGTAGTTTTTCAAATGCTTTACAAGCTATAAGAGTAATTGATATGTTCCTCTTCATGTGGGATAAGAGTGAAGATATCAATTATCACCTTTTAGTGTAACTACAAGGGCAGCTTGGTGCTGTAAAGCTCCCGTCATGCACAGTCTTACCTTACATTTGGTGATTACATGAATCAAACCAATGACCTTTAATTCACATGGCAACAACATCAACCGTTTTTGCCAAGGTCCTGGGAAGGGAGCATTGGCAAAACGATTAGTGTTGTTGTCATGTGAACCGGAGCACAAATTCAATTCATGTAAGCCTCTTGCAAATGCAATGTAAGGTTACCTACTATAGCCCTTCCTCGGACCTTGTGCTTAGAGGGACTTTTATACCACCAGGTGGCCATTTTTTTAATGTAAAATAACTACATGATATAGCATTCTAGTAAGGCCTCGGAAGCAAATGTTCAATTGCTTATGTCACATCCAAAAATCAGCTAAATCAATAATTGATAATATTTTATAGACATTTGAATAACTTGAAGCTAATTGTTAAACTAACCTGGAAACAGGTGATTGCAAATTGTAAAGTGTACATCAGTAAATTAAAGCCACAGTTGATCGATTAGAATGCTTTTCTTTTTTCTTTTTTTTCCTTGCTTGAGACAGGTCGATAAACTGGAAGAAAGCTTTGATGTGATCAATTCAGGATCAAAGCCTCTTGCTGCATATATATTTACAACCGACAAGAAGCTCAAGGAGCAGTTTGTTATGACTGTTTCTGCTGGGGGTTTGGTTGTCAATGACACTACTTTACATGTAATTTTTATTCATATTCTACACAATCTATACGAGCATGTCTTGATTTTATCTGTCCCTCTGTATGTGATTCTTATATGCAAACAGAACAGCAGAAAAGCAGATCACCAATCAGCTTCAGTTGTTGTTGTTGCCATCAGTTCCTTGTTTTAAAGAAACCTCCAGACTAAAAACAAACATAAATCAAAGCAACGTGTTAGATTTTATTATTGCAGAAGGTTAAAGAAAATGACCTGAAAATAATTTCTTAAAGTGTATTTTTTTCAGCTTTCATTTGCTACAGTGAAGAGCCATCTTTTTTAAATGAAAAGTGTTTTTCTGAACCCATGTGTTTGCTTTTACTTGTTCATATTGAAATTTGAGCTTCTTCAAATAAAAAGGTGGTCTTTTCCATTTATAGATTCCCATGTCTTATTTACTGTTTTGAATTAATTGGAAATGTTAACAGTCATAATCTTCGTGTTTCTGTTTTCTAATTGGCCTTTTCACCTGATGCAGCTTGCAGTTCATACTTTGCCATTTGGGGGAGTTGGTGAGAGTGGAGTGGGTGCATATCATGGGAAATTCTCATTTGATGCTTTTAGCCACAAAAAAGCAGTTCTATATCGCAGTTTTATGGGTGATGCATCAGTAAGGTACCCACCGTACACGAATACAAAGCTGAGATTGCTGAAGGCTCTCATTGGTGGTGGCATACTTGGTATAATTCGTGCACTGTTTGGATTGTCCTAGACTTGAATTGTCTTGGAATCTTGCTGCTATTGACACCTTTTATTCTGGCTTCCTTGTATTATTTTATTGTCCAGATTAGTTTTTATTTAAGCAAAAAAAATAAAAAAAATAAAATCATTGACAATGTATTGTGCTTGAGAGTAAATTTTATCATTGCTATTTTATTTTTTTTAATTGTATGATTGTTTTAAGATGCCCTGTGGTTGTTCTGCCCTATCAGAGGCCATGCTAGTACTGATGTTATTATATGTATTCACTTGTATATCTTGATACCATGCCGTTTAAGGAAGTATAACTCATTTGAGTATCATAATTGCAAATCCTGGTTTTGATTAGTTGCGTTGATCTCTCTCGGTAGTTAGTTCTGAGACATGTCTCTTGAAATTGGAATTGACGTATGAGCTCTTGTTTAATTGGCGCCTCTCGTTTCTATGGACTCTGTCTTATTATAAACCTGTTCTGGTTGTTAAACGGGGTTAGCAGTACAAAGGATTAAATGTGTAAGATACCAAATTTGCTAGCTTGAAAAATGTTATCATTATTCTTACGTTGGTATAAATTGATCCAGTGGCGGACATATACTATTGCCACTGACCGCAATTGCAAACGGTAACTTTTGCAAGTAATTAAATTTCCCCCCACAGTGAAGCAGATTTTGTCTCCCGGTTTAGGAGGGTTAGAGGAAGGTAGCAAATTTCTTCCTCCAGCACCTCAGCTTCTAACTGGTCTTGGTTCAATGGGAGAATTCCATTTGGTTGAAGGGTAGAAAGAATCACAAGCGTAAAGGAAGTGATACCAAAGAAGAAGGGAGAAGTAATAAGCAATCAACAGTTGGTGTTGCTAATGAGAGTGAGTTATATGTTTGATAGAGTGTTGCTTAGTGTGGAGAATGTGCCACTCTATAACAAACTGAAAGCTGAACATGCAGGTAAAAAGTTTGATGGAGAGATGGCTCATCCTATGAAATATGAAGGAAAAAGGAAATCGTGGATTTGAGGGGATAATGTTAATTAGCACCAAACCAGTCTCTCCAAACAGTCTGAGCATATCTACAATCCCTTAAAATATGAAGTAAGGTTTCTTCCTTGTCAGGGCAGCTATTACAAACATTTGGACCTCCACTCCAATGATATGTCCTACTTCTCACAGGGAGCCTATTTAACATGGCCAACCACATGGTAGTTTTAACTCTTTCAGGACCTTGCCAAGACCAAATTTTCTTCCAATGCAAGGTTGAATAGGGAACATGAAACTCCATCAAATTTTTGTATGCTATTTTAACCAAAGAATCTGAAACATGATTTTTCATCCAAACTAATCTGTCATCCTAATTGTTGTCCAACTGGATAGGATAACAATCTATTATGGATACTAAATCATTATTCAATTATTCAAAAAACAGTTGATGTAATGAGAATCCCATTTTCCATCAGGAGCAAACTCAGCCACAACTTTTTGGATATCTGAATTAGGGACAGGATTGTGAGCAAATAAGCTGAGATTACCATATAAACCCAACCAGTTATCTGCCCAAAATCTGATTGTCTTGCCATCACAAATCTCCCAGCGAAGACCTGCTAAAAATTGGTTTCGACATTTACAGAGATCCCGCCAAAGCTTGGAGTCATAGCACTTTGACATAACACCTCTCTTTAGATCTTTCCCCCTGCCATATTTAGCTATTAATACCTTCACCCACAAATCATCCCTTCTAGTTAAGATTTTCCAAGCAAGTTTACGCATGTAAGTTTCATTCTGAACCCGCAAATTGATGATCCCTAGGCCTCCCAACTCCTTTTGTTTATACATAGTATCCCAAGCCACCAAATGAGATCTATTATTACCCCATGTAAATTTTCGTTGAATTTGCTCAATCTCATCACACAAAGTAACTGGCAATAATCCGTTTTACATATGAAAGGAAGGGATTGCACTAATAACAGTTTAGCAAGTGTTACTCTACCAGCAAAAGACAGACACTAGTTCTTCCAACCATCCAATTTACTTCTGATATGGTCCATAATAGCAGCATAGTTACTCTTTGTGTTCCTCCCTTGTTTAATAAAGGATCCTAAATATCTTCCAATGCTTGTCACCCTTTTGTAACCAGTAACATTTTTAATAGAGTCAATAATTCCATCAGTAGTATTAGGAGAAAAGTAGATTGTTGATTTTGGAACACTAATACTTTGACCTGACATGTTGCAAAAAACATTCAAACAATCCATAACTTGGAGAGCTTGCTCTTTTGAAGCTTCAGCAAAGAGAATTATATCATCAGCAAACATGAGATGAGAGATTGAAGGCCCACCTCTACAAACTCTAAAAGGCTTCCAATTACCATTATTAACTTTGCTAGAAATCAGATGAGATAATTTTTCAACACATAACACGAAAATGTAAGGGGAAAGAGGGTCACCTTGGCGGATACCTCTTTCAGGCAGAAAGGTTTCAGTAAGGCCTCCAATAAGAAGCACTTTGAAACTGTTTGTAGTAATCGAGGCCATAATGAATTGAATCATCCAAGAAGGAAGCTGAATTTCTGCAAGCACTTTATGAATAAAAGACCAGATCAACTTATCACAAGCTTTTTCAAGATCAATCTTGACAGCCATAGCACCTTTCTTCCCTTTTAACCTTGCCATCGAATGAATCACTTCTTTAGCCACTATAATATTATCCTGCAAATTTCTGTTAGGGACGAAGCTGGTTTGATTAGCAGAGATCAATTTTTCCATCACCTCCTTGAGCCTACCAACAATAACCTTACTCATACCTTTATACAAAACATTGCATAATGAGATAGGTTTGAGTTGAGTAACATACATAGGTTTATGGACTTTAGTAATCAAAACAACCAATGTACCATTAATTTCCTCAATGCCTGCAAGATTTTGAACAAAATGACAAAAGGCTCTCCAAATCTGATCACCAATTAACTCCCAATTTCTGTGATAAAAATTAGCAGTATAGCCATCCTCCCCAGGAGCTTTTGTTTCTTTCATCGAAAAGAAATCTCTCTTTAACTCCTCCTTAGTTACTCGAGATCCTAATTTTTCAACACAATCAGGTTGAATTTCTGGCCACATATAATTCACCCAAACACTGTTAGTGTTTTCCTCTTTGAATAAATTACTGAAAAAATTCAGAATCATATTCTTTAAACCTCTTTCCTCTTTTACCAACATACCATTATCATCCTTCAAATCAGTGATTCTTCCCTGCTTTCTTCTTATGATTGTTTTAGTATGGTAATAGCTAGTATTTCTGTCTCTCTGATTAATCCACCCAGTTCTGGATTTCTCAAACCAGAGCTTTTCTTCTTGGTCCATCACCTCTTCAGTTTCTGCTTTAATCTTCCTTTCCACTTTCTCCAGATAAACTTTGTTATCTTCGGATATGGCTTTCTGAACACCTGCTAGCCTGCTCAACAATTTATTTATTTTAGTTCTAATGTTACCAAAAACCTTCTCATTCCACTCTTTTATGCAAAGGGTAAACCTTTTAAAGCTATCCATAATGTTACAATCAACACTCCAATTCTCCTTAATAAACTGACTAAAAAGCTGGTGGTCTTGCCAAAAGGAATGAAACCTAAATGGCCTTTCTGTCCAAACATCCTTAAAAGGGGATAACGTTATCAATAAAGGACTGTGATCACTATTAATCCTTGGAAGAACTTTAACATGACCCTCTTCAAAGGATGTCCTCCATTTAGCATTACTGCAGGCTCGATCAAGACGCTTAAAAACCCTATTCAAATGCAAAAAAGGGTCCCCTCCAAGTAAATTTTGTATCAGAGCTATCCAAATCTAACATCTTAATATTAGTCAAAAAGGATGCAAATTTATTGCACCTGTTCAGATCAACAGGAGCACCTCCCTTCTTTTCATGAGGAAAAGCTATTTCATTAAAATTCCCTAAAATAATCCAAGGCACCTCCATATTTTCTGAGATACAACGAAGATCCTCCCACAAACTCTGTCTAACTTCATCTCTGGGACTTGCATAAATAAAAGTAGAAAATAATGCTTCTTTATCCGGAAAGCAAATTCTGACATGTATCATTTGCGATTTTTTATTTAGAACCGTAACATCACATGAGTTCTTCTTCCAGATTAGCCAAATTCCACCCATAAAACCAATAGCCTCTTCCATAACATATTCACTGAAACCAGTCTTTTTACTTAAAATGATTTTGGTCCCCTAATAATCAATCTCATTTGAGTTGTAATTAATGAAATTTTGTATACAATATTCAATTATCTCTTGCCCACATAGTCAAAAGAAGACTTAATCATGAATGACACAGCTATTGTTCATGAATTGAACCTAATTATATTCCTAAACAAGTTGTACTCTTCAATAAAAACATACAACTTAAAAAATAAACATAATGACATAGTATGTCCCTCTGACCCTATTGTCGAACCTTGCCTTAAGGCCCAAGCCCAACCCTGTTATCCAATTACCATTAAATCAACGTCGTCATCTTCATCATTGATATTTTTGCATTCGATTCGATTTGTTACCGTTTCCTCCTCACAAACCTTACCAAGTATGTCCTATGATTGAATTTGTGAAAAGCATGATAAAGTCTAGAAACTTTGATATATTGTATGTCACTCCTTTATAGTATGCAGGTAAAGCCGTAACTAATCCAATTTCAGATTCTATGCATAATGATTTTCATTTCAATATAATTAACAAAATAATTTAAAAATTATGAAATATAATTACTTATGGTGTGTAAAATGAAGACCAATAAATATCTTGCAATCATAATGAATGAGAAATTCATGAAGAATGATAAGGAGAATATGTACTGCAAAGTTGATAGATTAGAGAGGATAAAGAGAGAGAGAGACTGAAACCTTGAAAAACAAAAGCGAGAAAGGGAGGAGAGCGTGGAAAGGAGGTTGAAAATCATATTAAGAAGTCAATTTATATCTAAACGACTTTTTAATCTATATGGCAGTTATAATTACTACTAAATTAATCTTGATTTTCATCAATCTAACGACTATAATTTATTGAGTATATTTATTAATTAATTAATATTTTTCAATAAAATTATAATCATTAGATTAACGAAAATAAACGATAACTAATTTAGTAGTAAGAATTATAAATTTTTTTAGTAACACGTATAAGATCTCCCATCTTTTAATAGATCAATTAAAAGGGGAGGTTACACTTACTACTTCTTAATATCAAATCTTAACCGTTGATTTTCGTCAATCTAATAATTATAATTTATTAGATCACACTTATTAATTAATTATTAATTTTTAATAAATTATAACCGTTAGATTAACAAAAATCAACGGTTAAGATTTGATAGTAAGAAAAATAATAATAAATATAACCTTTCCCAAATTAAAATCCTTTAGAATTTATATTTCATCTACGGACAAATCTAAAAAGTAAAAATTAAAGGACACAGTCCTAATATTTAGAATCGCGATTTCTGGGGAGGCAAAAAAAAAAAACACATGAAAAATTGAATTGGTAGCATCCACAACGACTTCACACTGATTGATATTAAAAAAATAAAAATTAGAAAGAACATTTTTTTGATAAAAAAAATAAAAATCAATCCTTTTATTGGCAAAATAACTAAAACATAATCCAAATTATAATGTAGTAAATTTTTTTTTTTTTTTTTGAGTTACCCAACTCTAATTACTTATTTGAGGCGAGTTGGCTTCCTCCGATATCCCCACAAGCTTCGACTCTTTGAGCCGGCTATGGGACTAATCCGGAGTGCGGGAGTTTGGCTAAAGATTCAGCCCCCTCCCCAATAATGCATTTAACAGAAATCGAACACATGTCCAACCCCACTGACTCAGCGCGAACCAACTCAGCTGCACCTAGTAAAATTTTCTTTTTCGCTTTTTTAGAGTGAAGCATTAAAACACGTTGGTAGCGGCCAACTGCCACCTGACCAAAACCTGAGCCAGAAACCAGACACGCAGAGGATACTAAACTCTGCTTCAGTCTCCTAAATTTCCTTCCTTTTTCTTTTTCTTTTCTTATTGAATTCTTTATTTCAATCAAAACCTTTTTCTTGAATCATTGCCACCTTTTTTCACCTCTGATAATTTTGTTTCTCTAAAGATGGGTGTGAGAAGCAAGGGAAGAGAATTGCACACGGTCTTGCTCTTTCTTGTATTTTCTGCCATTTTCCCACTCTCTTTCTCAGCTGCCAATCAACCTCGTAAAGCCAAGAAGCCCACCGCCAGAGCTTCTGATAATCAACTTGTCTCCTCAGCTGTTTTTCGGATTCAAGGGAATGTATACCCTCTTGGGTATGTATCCTTTTCACTCTTTTTCTTTTGTTCAAACATCATCCTCAAGTAATATCAACTTGATTATTGTTCTTTTTTTCTCTCAATTCTTTTATTGTGTGATTAAAGGTTTCTTTTTTTGGATAACTTTGTTCTAGTAATTGTGTTCTGATTTGAGCTATGCTAATTGTCTGAAACATTTAAAAAAGGAAACAAACAAACAAAAAATGAAATTATGTTTCTGATGAATTCTTCTAAAATTAGTTCCTTTTCTAGTTTCTTGGGAAATTTCGGATCACTTATATCGAATTTATCTGCTGTTTGTTTGTGATTCTTTTTGAGAAAGAACAAAAAGTAGTTTGACTTGAACCCCTTAACTTCTTTTTTTCTCCCTTTTTGACTGTATCTCTCCTATTGGACCACAATCTCTTCTCAGTCAATAGGTCACTTTTTGTTTACCCAAGCTTTGAAAGAAAAAAGAAACATGATTGTTGGATTTCTAAAGTTAATTAGTTTTTATTGTCAAATTTAAATCATTCTGATTCCATGAAAAAATAATTTATGATTTCCTCTTTATGCAGGTATTACACAGTGTCCCTCCACATTGGCTATCCCCCCAAGCTTTTTGACCTTGACATTGACTCAGGTAGTGACCTCACTTGGGTTCAGTGTGATGCACCATGTAAAGGTTGCACCAAGGTAAACTTAAAACCTAGATTAGCCTCATTCTGAATTATGAGTAGTAACCAATAATTTCATCCTCAGCATCAGTTCTTCACTTGGTGTCAATCTTTGCAGCCTCGTGATCAACTTTATAAACCCAACAATAACCTTGTGCAATGCAAGGACCAGTTGTGTGCTGTAGTGCAATTGTCAACAACAGACCATCAGTGTGCTGCCCCAGATGACCAATGTGACTATGAGGTTGAGTATGCAGATCATGGATCATCTCTGGGTGTGCTTGTCCAAGACTACATTCCTCTTCAATTCACCAATGGTTCTATGGTACGCCCTAGGATAGCCTTTGGGTGAGTGTTTTCATTCCATCCTTCTGTGTGACAGTGGTTGCATCTACTACTTAGGTAATTTGTAATGAAGTTATGAATCTTATGATGGGGGAAAAAAAATGTAACGGTGAAATTATGCTAAATAGCAAATAGGGCAACATAATAGAATTGATCTATTCTCAGGACAAATGTTAAACCGGCTTCAACTTGGAACTACAATTTCCTTTTCACCTTCCTAATGATTGAGAGTTCCTTTTCTGATGCATGGCTAGGTGTGGATATGATCAAAAGTACTCTGGTCCTACACCTTCTACAGCAGGAGTCCTTGGACTTGGCAATGGCAGAGCAAGCATTTTGTCCCAGCTTCATTCTCTGGGTCTGATTCGCAATGTTGTTGGTCACTGCTTAAGTGGGCGAGGAGGGTTTTTATTCTTTGGAGATGATTTCATTCCCTCATCAGGAATTGTCTGGACACCCATGTTGCCTAGTCATTCGGAGTAAGTTTTAGTCATTTTCTTCTGAGACGTTTTTGTTGCACACATGTATCATTTGTTGCCACTCATGAGAACTTACACACTATCATTGCTCCAGAAAACACTACAGCTCAGGACCAGCAGAACTGTTTTTCAATGGAAAGCCTACATCTGTTAAGGGTCTTGAACTTATCTTTGATAGTGGGAGCTCTTACACATACTTCAACTCGGAAGCTTATCAAGCTGTTGTTGATCTGGTAAGATGGAAACTAGAGTGCCTCAATGATCCTTGATTGCCTCAATTGCCTTGTATGGCCTGAAGATAAATAGTTTGCTATCTTCCCGTTTATAATCCTTGATCTATAATTCAGGTAACTAATGATTTAAAGGGAAAGCAGTTGAAAAGAGCAACTGAGGATCCATCACTTCCCATTTGTTGGAAGGGTGCTAAGTCTATCAAATCTTTAAGTGATGTCAAGAACTATTTCAAGACCCTAGCTTTGAGCTTCACAAAAGCGAAGAATATGCAAATGCAACTACCACCAGAAGCTTATCTCATTGTCACTGTGAGCACCTTTTAGGACTATGAGTAACTTCTCTGCCTCTAGCGAAGGGAACAAATGAAATTATGTTTATTACTTGCTGTCCTTTTCCAGAAACATGGCAATGTCTGCTTGGGGATTCTAGATGGCACAGAAGTAGGACTAGGAAATCTTAACATAATAGGAGGTAAGGCATGCCAAATGCCACTTTTCTTTTCCATTTTTATTTGACAATTTAATTGTTATACATTTTCTTTTGCTCTCAACAGACATCTCTTTACAAGACAAAATGGTGATTTATGACAACGAGAAACAGAAGATTGGATGGGTTTCTTCCAATTGTGATATGCTTCCCAGGTAATAAGCCCATCTCTTATGATTTTTTCTATAATTGTGAACGTCAACAGGTGTTACAAAGTAATTTTTGCCCTGTTCATTAACAGTGTGGATCGTGATTTTGAAGATGGTTTTCCACAACCATACGCAGCCAATTTCGGTATTTTTGCGGATCGGTGCCCCGCAACTTATGATATAACAGACAGTCAGTGAGTTTGGCAGAGGATACTCGGATGTAAACTAGATAGCATATATAATACCATATGGTACAACATATATACATGGATTCGTTTTTTTTTTTTTTTGTCAGCTTACTACAACATTTCATGCTTCATAAGCTACAATTAATGAATGTGTAACTGATAACTTCCAACCCATACAAGCTACTGAGTTACTAATCCAAGCTAGAGAAAAATTCATGAAGTAGAGAGGCCTCAATTCCCATCAGTAGCAAGTAGTTAATCAGTTCAACTAGAGAATCTGCCTTCATTGTTGCTTCCATACACTACCACAAGGATGATAGAGAGGTGATTGTCAATATTTTGTAAGCATACCGAGTATACTGTACCTGCAATAAAAGTGCATACTTAGTTAAAACATCCCAAATCAGGAACGTGATTCCTGGAGAACCCCATATTTCTATGGATTTATACCAACTTCAAAACCTCATGTACAATACTCACAGCAGTCAATAGCAAGACGCTACATGTTTTGATTTGCATACTGCAAGTTGTAAAAAAAACACTGTCAGTCATGGCAGGTTGGTCGCAAGAGATTACAATCTTAGGCAGAAAACAAAAACAGGTAAGTAGGTATATTTTTCAAAATACAACCAACTGTTGAATCAGAAACATGGATAGCAGGTTGGTCATTTTTTCCCGCCCTCCTAAAATTACCACTTTTTCATTAACTGGCGAATAAAACGAATCCATAATTTGGAATTCAACTTCTGACATGACTTGTCTTAGCATATGCAGCCTATTTAAAACATTGAAAATTCATAATATTGATATTATTCATCTGATAAAGCAAAAGTAAATAGATTTGCCAATTTAGTAATCGTTGTGTTACAAAAGGAAAATCTGTCGACATACAGGAGGTAAAGCAAGTTATCCCTTGTACATGGAACGCGATTTCTAGTATTAGAAGTTAAGTTAGAATGCCAATATCAAAATATATCTAGTAGTATTAGATTATACAACTATAATGGTGTATTGTATATTTATTTTGTATCTCTGCTGAGTCAGCATTGAACTGCTATAACAGTTGTAAGCTGTTATAACAGTTGTCAGTTAGTTACATAACTGTTGGAGAGTTACATTACACCTATAAAAGGTTGTACTCGTGTAAACCAGAGATTGATTCATTCCATTCAGAACCACTTCTGAGAACTCTTTTCTCTGCTCTCTCTTCTCTCATTATCTCAGAGAGTCCTAGTTCTATCAAGTATCAAGCAGCGGGACTAAAAGCCCGCAATAAACCATCCAAAACAGCATCTAAGAATTAATGTTTACTTTTCCAGGATATAAATGAACATGAAAAATGACCCGGATATATATCGAATTTTAAATAGAAGTAGCAGAAGCAAAAACTCTCCTGAATCATTAGGACCTGGCAATGGCAATTTATTGTTGAAAGGCAGGCAAGTAAGAAATGTACCTTTGCATGGCAAATTTTTGTTATTGCCTCAATATGAAGGTTTTGAAGCTCTTCAAGGGCCATAACATCCAGACCAGCGATGTCTTCACCCTATTACATAGTTAAAAGCGATGTCATTTGCAATGCTTTGTCTTCACGTAGAGAAATCAGAAAACTAAGTCTAGGCTTATGTGATGTGAGATAGATGACCACCCACGAAATTAACACTTCTATGCCATTTATAATTCCTACTCTTCAAAATGTAAATCTACTATGGGTGCAAATAGAAGACTGCAACCAGGGAAATCATGTTTGAAAAACCAAGCAAACAGACTAAAAGTAATTATAGCACGTGTCTGTAACTATTCGCTATGGAATTTGAGTCCCAAAAATACAGTTGATTTAGTGAGGGAGGTTTTCTAATTTGCCCACTCTCGTGGAATAGTAAGGGCTGTTGATTATTGTTTCGGGAAACAGTTTTTGGTTTTCAAAAACTAGTAAAACAAAAAAATATCCATTTAGGTGCCTAATTTTTTATTTGATTGTTTGAAAAAATATTCTCCATAATATGTCTTTGAAGTAGCAAATTGAGAATACTTTTTGGGTATTATTGTTTTGTTTTCTTTAATTTGTTTTTAAGGATTCTTTACTCTCACTTTAAAACACTATTGTCGCCACCATTGCATCATCGCTGCCATCACCACTATTGTCGGAGCGTCCTCAACCTTTCAAGACTTATTCTCAAAACAAAATTCATCAAACAAGTGTTTTGATATTTTTATTCTGTGAAATAGTTCTAAGAAATAATTCTATGAAATAATTTTTGTTAGAGAACAGTATATGTTAAACTTAGAGAAATTGGGATAAAACCTTATGTTCTCCTTTGGAGAATTCTCATTTAAATAGTATGATATAATTACACAATCATAACTATACAATCATAACCTACAGCTAGCTAATTAATTAAGGATATAATTACACAATCATAACCTACAGCTGGCTAATTAATTAAGGATATAATTACAAATCATAACCTACAGCTGGCTAATTAATTAAGGATATAATTACAAATCTGCACAAATAATGCCAAATATTCTGCTCATCAATTCTATTGACATCCCCCCTCAAATTGATGCTGGTGAATCTACAAGCATCAATTTGCTGACGAGGAAATTATGTCGTTGACGTGTCAAAGACTTGGTGAGGATGTCAGCTAGTTGAACAGATGTTGAGACATGAGGTAGAGTGATAATTCTACGGTCATAAGCTTCCCTGATTGAATGACAATCGACCTCTATGTGCTTTGTTCTTTCATGGTATACAGGATTTGCTGCAATCTGTATGGCACTTGTATTATCAGCATACAACGGAGTTGGTGTTGCTTGTGAATAACCAAGTTCTGAAAGAAGGCCCCGTAACCAAATAATCTCAGAGCATGCTGCAGACATGGACCGATATTCTGCTTCAGTGGAGGATTTAGAGACAGATTCTTGTTTCTTGCATTTCCAGGAGATAGGGGCATCTCCTAAAAACATACACCAGCCAGTAGTAGACTTCCTTGTGTCGGGACATCCAGCCCAATCAGCATCGCTGTATGCTTGAAGTTGTATTGTTGCATTTGTCGGAAAGAAGATACCACGGCTGGGAGTGGCCAACAAATATTTAATGATTCGTTGTACTGCTGTAAGATGCAAGTGTCTAGAATTTTGCATGAATTTGCTGACTGTGTGGACAGCAAAAGAGATATCAGGTCTTGTGATGGTGAGGTAGATGAGACTTCCTACCAACTTTCGATATAAAGTTGGGTCTTGTAGAAGGTCACCTTCATCCCGTCTTAACTTTACATTAACTTCCATGGGAGTGTCAACCATAGTTGCAGTGGTGAGACCAGCTAGCTGAATTAGATCCTGAGTATATTTGTGATGAGTGACAAAGATGCCTTTTTGTTGGAATTGTACTTCTAATCCCAAGAAATAAGTGAGCTGTCCAAGATCTTTCATGTGGAAGGTTGTATGCATCAATTGTTTGATTGTAGTGATAGCCTCTTGATCTGAGCCGGTGACGATAATGTCATCCACATAAACAAGGAGAATCACAATACCTTTGGAGGTCCTTTGTAGAAAAAGAGATGGTCCTCTAGTGCAAGAAGTTCAGTCTCTATAGCATCCTGCCAACATTTATGCTCCATTGCCTGTTTATATGAAGAAGGAATAGGAATAGATGCTAAAGTTGCTGTCAAAGATAAAGATTCAGAAACACCATACTTTTCCGGTGGTTTACGAATGCGAGTACTGCGACGTAAAGGGGCAGGTTCTAGTGCATGCACTGGATCAGCAGCCAGAGAATGATCAGAAGGGGGCCTTGAAGGGATTGAAGTCTGAATTGGTGGAACAGTCGGACGTCTTTGGTAGACAATGACAGGAGGACGAGCTTGGTCTTCTGCAAAACTGTTAGGAAACAATGGCAAGACAGATTTGGATGTAGAAGATTGAGTGTCTTGGTTAGTAGCAAAAAAATATGTATCTTCTTGAAAGATGACATTTCTAGAAACCCGAATCCTATGTAAGTGAGGATCATAGCATAAAAAACCTTTTTGATGGGCTGAGTAACCAAGAAAAGCACATTTAACAGATTGAGCTGTGAGTTTGGTGTGTTCTGGTGGCTGAAGATGAACATAACAGACACAACCAAAGGTGCGAAGAGTTGAATAATTGGGTTGCTTACCAAATAACCTTAAGAAAGGGGAATCATTGTGCAAGACTGGAGAAGGCAGCCGATTAATAAGGTGGACAACAGTTGAGAGAGCTTCACACCCAAAACGGGAGGGTACTAAAGAGTCCAACATTAAGGTACGGACAACATCAAGAAGATGACGGTTTTTTCTTTCAGCTATCCCATTTTGTTGGGGTGTGGAAGGACACGACCTTTGAGATAATATACCATTTTTCTGCAAGAACTCTTGAAACAAATGAGATGTGTATTCCCCCCCAATTGTCAGAACGCAGAGTTTTAATTTTTGATGCAAACTGAGTTTGAACATAGGAATGAAAAAATTGGAATGCAGAGAAAGCGTCAGCTTTAGATCGCAAAAAATAGACCCATGTGAAACGACTATAGTCATCAATAAAAGTGATAAAATATTTGTAATGTGCATGAGATATTACAGGTGTGATGCCCCATAAATCACTGTGAATTATGTCAAAAGGCTGATTTACATTTGATTGATGAACTGGAAATGGTAGAATTTTACTTTTACCAAGTTTACAAGAATTGCAATCAAATTGAACAGCACTAAAAGATGGGAAATGTTTATTGCCAAGAACTCCAGATTTCATTAAGGCATGAAGTACATTCGAATTTGGGTGACCAAGACGCTTATGCCATAATTGAAAATTAACAGTTGCAGAATTACAAGAAATAAAAGGCTGAAAAGAACATGGTGACAACAATGAATAAAGAGGAAAAAGACGTCCAACTTTAGGCCCCTTCGCGATCACCTTCCCTGAGTGTTGATCCTGCACATGACAACCAGACTTTGAGAATTCAACTTTGCAATCACTGTCAACTAATTGACCAATTGAAATAAGGTTACTGGTGAGATCAGGGGAAACATAAACATTGGTAAGAGATGAAGAAATATCACCAATTGCTGTGATAGGTAAATTGTTTCCATCCGCAGTGTGTATTTGTAAATTACCAGAGTAATTTGTAACATTGGTAAGAGAAGCAACATTGTTGGTCATATGATTGGATGCGCCAGAGTCAAAGTACCAAGGAGAGCTGGATAAAGAAACTTTACCTGAAAGACCCAAAGCAGAAAATGCAGAAACAATCATTTGTTGAACCATTTCAGGGGTTAAAGTTGGCACAGAAACAGGAGTAGTAGAAGAGCCAACAGTGGCAGTGAAGGCTGTTGCATTTCTCCGTGGTGGTCTGATTTGACATTCTTTGATGATGTGACCTTCTTTTTTGCAGTAATTACAGAACTTTTTAGGACAGTTTGAAGCAAAATGTCCATGGCCTTTGCAGCAGAAACATTGGACAGTACTCATGTCTCGACCTCGTGGTTTGGCTTGTACTGCATACGCTACAGGAAGGGAGGCAGATTTCTGGTGTTCCATGTTTGTCTGAGTAAGGAGACGTTGTTCTTCACGAAGCAATTCATTTAGACATTCATCCAAGGAGGGAACAGGAGCCCTGTTCATTAGGTTGGTGCGAATGCCCTCAAAAGTAGATCTCAATTTCATAAGAAATTGATCTCGTTTTGTGGTGTCATGAACATTTTGGACTACAGTTTGTCCTTCAGTCGACAAATCTTTATAGACAATGTCAGTATATTCAGCCCAAAGATTCATGAAATGAGAATAGAATTCAGAAATTGAGAGACTATCCTGTTGAAAAAGAGAAATTTCATGTTCAAGTTGGAACCTGCGAGCAGTGTTTGTTTGGTTATAAATTTTCTTCAAATAGTCACACATCTTTGCTGCCGTTGTTAAGGGTCTGAGATTGAGGACAATACTAGGCTCAACAGAGCCTATGATCCAAGTCATTACCTGTGCATCTTTGGCCTCCCATTGGGCATGTGCCGCTTGGTGCGTAGTTTTGTCAGGAGCAGAATTAGTTCCGTCAACATGACCCCAAAGCTCCTTGCCTTTGACAAAGATCTGGAACTGAAATGCCCAGGTGGAGTAGTTCTTTCCATTAAGACGAACAAAAAGAACATCATATTTTTCAGTAGACATGATGCTGAGAAAAATCGCGAGAGGAAAAAAAAAACAAGAATCGCGACGTGAACAGTACGCGCAAAAGACTAGAACTTGGGAACTCAGAGACTGTGAGTACAGCGAAAAATTTAGAGAAACCTAGACTGATACCATGTTAAACTTATAGAAATTGGGATAAAACCTTATGTTCTCCTTTGGAGAATTCTCATTTAAATAGTATGATATAATTACACAATCATAACTATACAATCATAACCTACAACTAGCTAATTAATTAAGGATATAATTACACAATCATAACCTACAGCTGGCTAATTAATTAAGGATATAATTACAAATCATAACCTACAGCTGGCTAATTAATTAAGGATATAATTACAAATCTGCACAAATAATGCCAAATATTCTGCTCATCAATTCTATTGACAGTATAAACCATTAAAAAGCCTTCACCCAAAAACTTAAGCTGTTAAGTGAAGTTACATTAATTATTTTATATAACTCTAACACACCCCCTTGCACTAGAGCTAAGCTCTACTAGAAATTTGGCTACTAGATTCCGGATATTCTGAAGAATTTTTTTTTCACTTTTGGAATCCCTGCTTTCCCTAATTCAACATCCAAATCTAAAAATAAATATATAGAATCCTTAAGCCACTATTGACTTTGAAGTCAATTCTTTCAGACCCAAACGTGGCAGCTGTGCTTGGAGTTCTGATCTATCCTTATGGAAAGGTTGATGCACGTCTTTCGCTTGTTATATTTCTAAACACTATTAGCATTAGTTTATGAACTTGCCATATACGTAATTATATTATATGTTGAGAGCACATCTAATTGATCTTCACTTTCCAATCTACCTTATTTCAATTTTCTCTTTTTTCATCATCTCTCTTTCTTCTAGAAACCAGTCACCTAAACTTATTTTCTCAACCCCGATCTTAGTTAAATTTTAAAAAGTCAACCAAAAATTCAATAATGTAGATATGACCATGAATCATGATTAATATTATCATGGCAAATATATAATATGAAATGAGATACCTTCAATCTAGAAATACGACTTTCTAGTTCTTTGCATCTTCTTCTTTCTCTTTGATAACTAGCCTTTAGTTCTTCTAATGCAATCATATCTTCCATGCTTCCTAAAGTATCATCCTCTTTGTACTGTTTTCTATAAGAGTAACGATTAGACGAGGGAAGTCCATTTTTAACCTTGGTTTGTAGGTCATTAGGCATATGAACTGTTGACCTATCCTCAATATTAATGCCAGACATTCTCATCTTTGCTACCAGCATCCGCATGCTTGTCAGCTCATGTTCCAAATCTTGTTTTTGGTGTTTTATTTCATCAAGTGTCCTCCTTAGGCCACCTTCTATTTCATCTTTCACAGATAGAGCCGCTTCTAATGCAGCTTCTCTTTGGAATCTAGCATTAAGGTCCTTCTGCAACTCCTCAATAAGAACTTCATTCCCTAGTTTATTCGATTGCACATCTCGTTGAAATTTATTATTGATGTTTTGCTTGCAATCATATGAAGATATCTGACAAAAGTTAGATTTGCAACAGGCCTCTTTTGCAGCTGCCACATCACCAGTCAGTTCTGCATTTTCATAAGTAAGTGTAGTCACTTCTTCAGCTAGGTTTCGGAGTTCAACTGCTGCAGCTGATGCCAACTCTTTTGCATATGAAGCTTCCTCTGCAAGCTTCTGGCTTTGAATTTCAAGCCCGTCTTTCTCTTCAACCAATCTCACATTCTCTTGCCTTAAATTCTCTATTTCAGCTGCCTGCACAATTTAATAGCAAAAACGAAAATCACTTCTACCAACATACAAACATACCAAAAGAATCTAAGCATTGTTCTCGTGATTATCTATTATGCCAACAGTAGTTTTATTTAAGTTCCTTCTGCAGAAGATGCCAGTGAGAGAGAGAGAGAGAGAGAGAGAGATAACCTGCATAAGAATTTGGGAATTTATAATAGAGTCACTATTTCCTTGCTTGGAGTGTGCTTGAGAAACTATTGAATTCAAGTTTTTGACTGCCCTTGTTTCATCAGTCTTTCCCAATATATCTCTAGAACTTTCAGTCTCACTGTCAGCAAACTGCTGAGAATTCGCTGAGATTTTATCCAGCAACAAATTCATCTGTTTCCTCAGTGAAAGAATTGTCTCTTGCATCTCAGCATTCTCTGAATTCTGTACAGTGTTAGCAAATGTTAAGAATTTCAACAAGTGCCCGTACAAGGAGGTCATATAATTGTGTAATATACCTTCAACTGTAGTTGCTCTTGAAGTATCCTATTGTCGGCTGACATGATCTTGAATGCTCAATTGACATGAGAGAATGGGCTTAGTATGATACACATGGCATTTCTGCTCGATAATGCAATTGAATCCATCCTAAAACTATAAAGAAGATAAGACAACCAACCTCAAGTTCGAAAATTTTTTCATTGAGCTCAATGGTAAGCTTGGACAGAGCCTACATCAGATATTCATTGACGTGTTAATTGAAGTTTACCAATAAAGTATACCCCAAAAAATTATTAAAAAAAAAAAAAGTTTATTAGATTACATTTCAATATAAGCTATCATTAAGAACGGTTTAAACAAAAAAAAAAAGGAAAACAAACTACATAAATTTCTTTTACTAAAACCTTTGGTGCTATTAAACTTCTTGTCACAATGCAATTTTATATATCATGAAAGAAGTGTAAGATGTTACAAGTTTCAAGATAGAATTCTTGAAATAGTCTTTCACCAAATATAGCTGTGTTTATAAGGTGGCTTTAAGTAGATTTTAGTCTCGCAGTTACCTGAGACATTTCGCTGTTACTTGGTGAATGTCCTAGTGATCCAATCATCTGTTGCTCCAGAATACAGATTTGGTTCTTCTTTTGGCTAATTTCACCCTTTAACTTATGCATGTCCTCCTATCATCATCACCAAAATAACCCACTCAATTTTATTATGAAATATTAAATTTGTTCTTCATTTGTAATCTTAAGTAAAAAGCTCACTTGTAGTTGTATATCTTCAGGTTTGTTAGCTGCTTGTTCAGACAGTCTTTTCAGAGAACTAATACATAACGCCACCTCCCCAGCCAACATTTTTACTTGTTCACGAAGAAGATCCATTTGATCAGTAACAGTAGTCCCAGTCTACAAGATAACCATTTAGTATAATTATTGTTCACATCCATAAGATTCGCCCATGTTTCTAGATACAAGTATGTTTTGCCACCAACATTGATGACAAGTATTTGAGATCTCACCCGAGGAAGTTGACGACCCCCAACAGTTACACTGAACAAGTCACCTGCTTGAGTTCTTCCTGGAAAAGAATTAAGAGCTGAAGCATTATCCTTTCTGCTGACTGAATTCCTGCGAGAGTCTTTCATGTCATAAAGCGTAACTCCATTTGGCATCAATTTTGAAGCAGATGCAGGTGACCCATTTGCAGAGCCCTCACTATCAACATTTGGCGATAATCCATCAAGATTATCAGGTTTCTGCATAGGAGGCATATACTATTTGTTGACTGGATAACAACGAATATAAAATGCTGATTTGCTTTCACATAAAATTTAGATAGAGCATTACCAATCGTCAAATCCAAGTCCACAAAAAGCTCAGCTTGGCAGAAATTCCGTAATCTTCCCTATATGTCTTAATTACAGTGATCCATCATTGATGAATTGTGATTTTTGTATTATTTATTCTATACATTAAACATGAATGGAAAGGAGTGCATATTATTTCTGAATGAATTGGTAAAATCTGAACTACACATTACAATATATAAGCTAAACTCAATAATAACTTTCTTAAGATAAGGTTCAATTAATGGTAATTAATGACCTATCCTAGTCACAAAATAATTCACAATAATTACAATGTTACAAAAGTAACCGATGTGAGACTATCACAACAATTAATATTAACTTTTAAACTTATTAATCAACTAGTCAACTATTTCTAACATAACAATAATATAGTTCAAATATATGGGAAAATAACTTACCCTAAGCTTCAGCCAGCCAAGCACTCCACGTCTTTTGTTTCTTTTATAATCCTTCACCAATTCGTCTAAATTGGTGACATCATCCTTTTCTTCCACGGAGGGAACTGAAGCATAGCTCCCAGCATCATCATCAATCAAGGGCTCCCGTTTTCTATCTGGCAAATATGCTAGCTGCATTCACAGAAGGACAAAACATTTGCCATCATCACTGTAAAGAACCAATTCAACCCAAAAGCTTAAGCTATTGGGTGAGACTATATTAATGGTTTTATATATCTCAACACGCTTCCTCACACGAGAGCCCACTGGGCTTGAAGGGTGGACAATGCACAGGCCCACCTACCTGTGCGAACAAAGAAATTCCACTTGAAAGAAAGTAGAGGGCAGCGAGGATCGAACCCGGGACACGAGGCTCTGATACCATGTAAAGAACCAAATTCAACCCAAAAGCTTAAACTATTGGGTGAGGCTATATTCATAGTTTTATATATCTCAACAATCACTAATAATATTTATGATTTTATAGTCATTCCAAGTAACTGGAAATTCGTACAGTAAAACAACAAATCAATTAAAAATCAAGACATCGAAGATCAAATTCCCAAGCATAGAATTGACAGCTGCGCAAACTGAAGTAACCTTGTAAAAAACACACCTCATCTTCCCCAAAAGAATGCCTTCGCCTATGATTAGGCCTTTCAAGAACGCTTGACGACATTGCATTCTTTGTAGAAACTAAGATTAATTTGGTTAGTCGCTGAATTCTTCCCATCAATGCTGCTTTAGCTTGTTCCTCCTCTTCCAATCTTGACTTCAATTTGGACTGGCCAGCTTCCAGCTATTATATGATTAAGTAATGCTTATTAAGAGAAGTGAAGAAACAACATACTAGCTAAAAATATCAGTTTTGATATGCAGCGAGGAAAGTAAACATCACTGTGTTAAGATTCAAGAAATAACATTTCATTCCGGCATATTATAAAGTTTCCGACCAAGTAAAAAGTCACTTTTTGGATGATCAATGATATAGGCAACAGCACAAACCTGAAGCTTCAAAGTAACCAGATCTTCTTGTGAAGATGCAGCCATATTGGGATTCTCAATCATGCCACGCTTCAACTGCTGAAGCTCCTGCTTTAACTCAGAAATTTCCCTCTGATACTTTTTGATCAGAGACTTCTCATCCATAATCTAATAGAAGAGAATCAGATAAAAGTTAGCAGTATGAAATCAAAGTGCCGAGAGAATATCACATATTAGCATTTGACATAAACTCACCTTGTTTTGAGAAGCCTTGATTTCAACATGCTTACTCCGGTGGGCAAATTTTAATGTGTTGTGCGTCTCTTCACTACTGCTAGAGGCAGGAGTAACTGTGCAAATGAGCTTCAACAACCAAACCATATTAAGTCATTTTAAAACATTAGTTAACCATGCAAATGTCAACAACAACTAGCAGAAAATTCAAAGAGCAATCGCACTAACAGAAATTCGTCCATGGCCACTAAGGGATGATTGCAACAAACGAGTGAGCTTTGAATCTCGATAAGGAATATGAGTTGACTTCCCATCTGTTAATTTAGCGATCACCTGCAATGCAGAAACAGGAAGATAGAGAAATTTAATTACTTCACTAAACAGAACTTGAGAATGGGATTGTTACACACCACAAGAATAGAAAACATGTTCATACCCAAACAGTTATGTAAATGTCGAGCTAACTACAAGCTGGCATCATAGCATAATGACAGAAATGCAACCAAGATTATTCACTTATATCCTCATGTTATTGACTAATTGCACTCGCTAAGATGCCCTACAAAACATTGTTTAGAGACAAAGAAACTCATCAAACCATCCAAAGTGTGCAGCATCCAAATAAGGATCTTTAAAGGCTAAGAAAGGATTGATGAAGAAAATCAAATATAAAACTCAGGATCCAATTATACCAAAGCTATTGCTATTGTTACATGTTTTAATAAGCAAGATGCAATGAAAGTAAGCACAAGAAACACGAACAGTAACAATAATTCAAAATAACTGCAATATTACACATTACATGGGGAAGAGACGAACTAGCATTTGAAAACTAGGATAGCAGCTGCTATGGTAAAAAGAGTTCAGAAAAACTAAAGATAGGCAAAAAATTAGTATATCATTACCGTTCCAAGAGTAAGCAAGCTTTTATTAATATAGGAACCTTCTTTCCTCCGTAAACCAGTTGTTTCAGTCTTAGAACTTTCAGAACCTGCAAGATCAATTAAGTGCTGGAAAAGAAGAAAAATTTGGGGGAAAAAAAAGATTTTAGAAGTGGTAATAAACAGAACGCTGGAGAAATGTACTGGAGCAATATAGTAATATAGTATAATGGTGGGAATCCTAGTTTTATGAGTGTTACCAAGTGGGACAATGCCACATCCTCTTCTCCTATATTTTCCCCTCGCGAACTGCTTTCAATAGTCTGATAGAAACAATATATTCAGTAAAGAAGGATAAGCAATATAAAGAAATCAAAACAACAATAAGGAGAAATCCCAGTAAGTTATGATTGGTTAAAACACAAATTCATATTGAATTGCATTCGACATGATAGCTACTCAAACGCAATTAAAACAATTCATAAAATACTTAGGTTTTGAAGCCACAAAGAGCAGTTTAAAAGAGAACAAACACTGAGGCCAAAGAAAAAGAGATATGTGTTAATATATTCTATGTAGACTGTTGATTGAGCTGTAACTAGGCGCAAACCTAGCATAAATAACCGAATAATATGGGTTCCAGGATTTCTCTAGTTAGTCCCCATCTGATATACCTCGAAACTCATCCATAATTTTCTTAACATGTTCAACTTGACTTGTCACGTTCCATCATTTTTACAAAAACTAGACTTGTCAAACTATTTCATTATCTTGATGAAATAAGGTATATGCATTGATGTTACCCAAGTTTCAAGAGAATATGCAATCTAATCACTCAATTAAAGTAACTGATATGCCCCTTGTATTCTGGCACCTCATATTTGTCAAACAGTTGGGAATTGTGTTAGGCCTGGCTTTTGAGCAGCCAAAAGTAATTAAATCAATATTGGGAACTGTTGGAACTTGGAATAATAATATAAAATTAAAGTTGACAGTCGTTAATAGCTGTTAATTAGCTCTGTAATTATTCCTTGATTAGCTTCTATACTTAATCCAGTAATAGTATCAATAGGAAGGATCGTGTGTAAGAAACACAATGTCTCTGCCTCTGTTTTAAGATTGTAACAAAGCAGTAGCATCCTCCATCCCGTCACTATTTTGCTGCCAAGTTCCCAAAACAAGGAAGTTCTAAGGTGAATTACATTTTCCCTTGGTTAACCTATCTTCTTCCCAGTGGCTATGCTCTAACTCCGGCATCCAGAAATTCAGTTTTTTCTCTGGGGAGGAAGCATGGACAATCCAAAATAGTTGGCATACTGGTGTCGGACACTTTTGACACTTAAGATAGTCCTAACTGCATTTTACAAAAAAAAATTAGTTTTTGATTTTTATAATAATACAAATGGGAATACTACAATAATTAGATAAAGCATTTTGTTATGTCCATTATGACTAATGCTAACTTTTAGAACATTCATTCTCTCTTTTAATTTAAGATTTGTGTTTTTATGTTGATTCTACACTAATTTTATGTTATACCATAATAGTGTCAAGTCCTATAATTTTTAAATTTTGATGTTGTCCATGTCAGGGTCTTATCGTATTTGTGTCCAATGTCATTCATGCTTCCTCTATGCTGCCACGGTTTCACCATTTTCTGATCACTTATTCAAAATACAGGTGTTGCCATAGAATCCAGAGACCACAAAATTGATAGAAAGTGGAAGATGACTAGAAGCCCAACCAGTCATTGCCCCTCTCTTTTTCTGGCCAATTTCGCCTCTGTTAGACTGTTGTTAGGCCTGTTTAGTTGCTGCTGCTAGACTACTATTCTAATGAATCTAGACTAGTATTATAACCAGGACTTTGGCGACATATATAAATTTATACTAGTAGCAAACATCAAATGTTGAATACATTTAAAAGAAAGCCCACTAGACAGTTTTGCACATTATGATAAAGGCAAAGAATCATGCATTCAAATCCTAAACATATGGAGGTCATTCTGACATACCAAGGTGAATATAGTGTGGCTTCGACTGCTAAATAGATTGAAATTATTTGAGCCCACATGTCTATGCTCTGCATTAAAATGCATAAATTAGAAGAAACAAGCATGTAACAATACAAGACTAAAGAAAATATCAAAACCATAAATAACTTTTAGAAGATCATAAAATTTGCAATGGGCAGGAACTTTGATTGCAAAAGATGGTCATGCTTCGAGTTGGAGCATTAACAAAAGCATTGTAAATATAGAATATTCTAGATTATCATTTATTACTTCCTTGCTATCTGTTCCCTTATTTATTAATGTCTCTTGTTATTGTAAATAAGCCTCTTAGTTTACTGTTGCTATTTATTAGCATTGTTCTTTGTACTCAATATAAATAGGACCTATTGGGTCTCTCAATGTAATCAATCAATAGTGTTATACAGCAAAACACTCTTTCTTTTTCATCATGGTATCAAGAGCTGGTTAAAATCCAGTCTCTTCCCTGTTCTAACTTCTTTAAGTCTTCCTTCCATTCCTTTTTTTTTGTTTTTTGCCTCTGTCAAGGCCAGAACCCTCACCTAGACACCTCCAACCACAAAACCAAGGCCACCATTAGGTCCAGAACAAAATTCCGAGCCAGCCAACAAAAGACCCGTCGCCGGAAACCCAGCCACGCGCCACCAACATCCTCCAGCTTCGCCGGCGCGTGTGGTCCACGCGCCGCCCTCCCATCATTTTTTTCCGGCGGGTCATACCCCGTTCTGATCGTCTGCCTTCCCTCTTCCTGTTTTGAGGGTCAAAATCATATTTGGAGGAATTTTTTTTTCTGGGTATTGTTGTTAGGAAGCCATGGACACTGAAAATGTTGAAAATTCATCTGGTGTTTCGATCGGAACCTCACCCCTTCCCATTTCTTCGTCTTCTGGAGACAACCCAGCAATGCAGATCACCAATCACCGTTTAAACGGTAGAAACTATGTGCAATGGTGTCAATCTGTTAAGTTGTTTATCCAGGCCAAAGGGAAGATGGGGTATCTGGATGGAAAAAAGGTTCAACCAGCAGAACATGAACCTGGCTATGATGCTTGGGTGACTGAAAATGCTTTGGTCATGACATGGCTGACTAATTCTATGGAACCGGATATCAGTCAAACTTATTTATTCCTTGATACGGCTCAAGAAATTTGGGAAGCTGTTAAAGAATACTACTCTGACCTGGGCAATGCCTCTCAGGCTTTTGAACTCAACACCAAGGTGAAAGATTTACGCCAAGGAGGGATGACTGTTACTGAATACTTCCTTGCTCTAAAAACATTGTGGCAAGAGTTGGATCTTTATGATAAAGCAGACCTTCAAGGTTTAGACGCTAATGCAATATTCAAAAATTATATAGAGAAAAGGCGTCTCTATGATTTTCTTGGTGGCCTTAATTCTGATCTGGATGATGTTCGTGGAAGAATTTTGGGGCAAAACCCATTACCTTCCATTGCCACTGCCTTTTCTGAGGTACGAAGGGAGGAGCTTCGCCGAAAGGTAATGTTGGGTGATAAGGACTCTAAGTCCTCTGATGGGTCAGCCCTTATAACAAAGAATACTGCTCGTCCTTCTGGGGACTCAAAACGTTCTGACCGTTGGTGTTCTCATTGCAATAAGGGTGGTCACACCCGTGAAAAATGTTGGGAAATTCATGGCAAACCACCAAACTAGAAACCAAAAGGACAGAACAAGAATCGTGCTAATCAAGTATCTTCTGAAGATAAGGGGGAGGGGTCTCATGTCCCTTCAAACCCCGATGGTGTTCTCCTCTCTAAGGCCCAGTATGAGCAATTTCAGAAATTGATGTCTCAATCTGCTGAGGCAACTAGTCATGTTGCTCAAAAAGGTATGGCATTCCATGTTGAACGTAGTAATCATTGGATCCTTGATTCAGGAGCCTCTGATCACATGACAGGTAATGCAACCTTATTTTCCTCCTATACCCCTTACTATCACCCGTCACGAATAAGAACAGTTGATGGAAATTTCTCCACTATTGCGGGCAAGGGATCCATTAAACTTTCTGAACATATTATTTTGAACTCAGTCCTTCATGTTCCCTCCCTTACTTGTAACCTCATCTCTATTTGCAAATTTACTGCTGAGTTGCATTGTGTTGCTAAGTTTTCTGCAAATGCTTGTATCTTTCAGGAGCAGGACTCGGGGATGATGATTGGCAGTGCTAGAGAGGAAGAAGGGCTATACTATTTGGAGGAGGATCTTTGTGAAAGGAGGATTTTTTCAAACCACTCTCTATGTTTATCAGATGATTGTAATGATGTTTTGTTATGGCATCGTAGGTTAGGGCACCCAAATTTTGTTTATCTTCAGAAGTTATTCCCTAACTTATTTATCAATAAAAAGCCAAGTTCCTTTCTTTGTGATATTTGTCAGCTTGCAAAACATTCTCGTGTCACTTATTCTCCTAAGAAATATCATGAATCTTCTCCCTTTACATTGATTCATAGTGATATTTGGGGACCTGCTCGTGAAAAAAATGTCTCGGGTGCTCGTTGGTTTATTACTTTCATTGATGATCATTCTAGGGTATGTTGGGTATATCTCTTAAAAGACAAGTCTGATGCGGCATCCACTTTTAAAAATTTTCATGCTATGATTCAAACTCAATTCCAGACTCCTATCAAAATTCTGCGAACAGACAATGGCACTGAATATTTTAATTCTGTTCTTGGAGATTACCTAAACCAGCATGGAATTATTCATCAAAGTTCTTGTCCTAACACCCCTCAACAAAATGGGGTGGCTGAAAGGAAAAATAGACATCTAATTGAAGTTGCTCGAGCTCTTTTATTCACGATACATGTCCCTAAATATCTGTGGGGGGAAGCCATCTTGACAGCTTCTTATCTCATTAATCGAATGCCTTCTCAGGTACTAAATTTTCATTCTCCTTTACCTTGTCTTACTAAATCTTTTTCTTCTTTCTGTGCTCTTTCTTCTCTTCCTCCCAAAATATTTGGCTGTGTGGTCTTTGTACATATTCCTCCACATCAAAGGTCCAAACTTGACCCTAAATCTATTAGATGTGTCTTCATAGGATATTCCCCTAATCAAAAAGGCTATAAGTGTTACTCACCTTCTCTCCGTAAGGTCTTTGTTTCCACGGATGTTACCTTTTATGAGACACAATCCTTTTTTTCCCCGACTTCTCTTCAGGGGGAGTCTACTGGTATGGATGAAGATAAGCCTGGGAAACCAAATGAAGTTGTTGTCTTACCTTGGCCTTTGGAAACAGGGGGAGTTATTGGGAAGGAAACAGGGGGAGCAACTATACCTGAGTCTAATGATCCTCCCGGTCCTTGTGATCCTCCTGGTAAATGGGAAAAATTCTACAGCAGGCGCAAAACACATCAAGAGACTCTAGACTGCCAGGATCCTGACTCGAGTCCTTGCTCTAGCAACCCACTTGAATGCACTAGCACAGCCAACATTGATATGCCCATCGCCCTTCGGAAAGGTACTAGATCTTGCACTGCTCATCCTATTTTCCATTATATCTCATATGAAAAGTTATCTCCAGGTTTTCGTGCTTTCAACACTATGTTAGATAGTACCAGGATACCCAAAAATATCCAAGAAGCACTTGATGACCCAAAATGGAGGAACGCCGTATTAGAAGAAATGGATGCACTTATAAAAAATGGAACATGGGAGTTTGTGACATTACCTAAAGGAAAGAAAACCGTTGGTTGCAAGTGGGTGTTCACAATAAAATTTAATGCAGATAACAGCATCAACAGGTATAAGGCCAGATTAGTTGCTAAGGGATTTACTCAGACTCATGGAATTGATTATCAGGAGACATTTGCTCCTGTTGCCAAGCTTAACACTATCCGCGTTCTGCTATCTCTTGCCGCCAACCTTGATTGGCCATTGCAACAGTTAGATGTCAAGAATGCCTTCTTGAATGGTGATCTAGATGAGGATGTTTACATGGATCCACCTCCTGGTTTTGAAAAAGGGGATGGTTCTGTGTGCAAGTTGCAGAAGTCTCTCTATGGACTTAAACAATCTCCCGGAGAATGGTTTGGGAAATTTACTCAAGCTGTTAAGGGAAGAGGGTTCACCCAAACTCAGACTGATCACACTTTATTCTTTAAACACTCTGACAAAGGTAGAATTGCTATCCTCATTGTTTATGTTGATGACATAATTGTCACTGGTAATGATACCGAGGAGATAGCCTCTTTAAAAAAATGTTTAGCTGATCAGTTTGAACTAAAAGATCTTGGATCTCTCAAATACTTCCTTGGCATGGAAGTTGCTCGAAGTAAGGAAGGAATTTCCTTAACTCAGAAAAAATACATTCTAGACCTGTTGCAAGAAACAGGTATGCTTGGGTGCAAGCCAGCAGAGACTCCAATTGAAGCTAATATCAAGATGGGAGTTGAGGACGGGGAAGATGTTGATAAAGAGCAGTACCAGAGACTAGTGGGGGAATTAATCTATTTGTCACACACTCGTCCTGATATTGCTTTTGCTGTGAGCATGGTTAGCCAATTCATACATTCTCCTAAGGAAAAACACCTTAGTGTTGTTTATAGAATTCTCAAGTACCTCAAAAACACCCCTGGTCGAGGAATTCTCTTTAAAAAGGGGAACAAAAGGATGATTGAAGTTTATATAGATGCAGACTGGGCTGGCTCTGCAATGGACCGAAGATCTACTTCAGGATATTGTACTTATGTCTGGGGAAACCTTGTGACCTGGAGAAGTAAGAAACAAACTGTTGTTGCAAGAAGCAGTGCAGAAGCGGAATTTCGGGCTTTAGCCCATGGTATTTGTGAAGGAATTTGGTTAAGAAGGCTTCTGGAAGAGTTGAAGATCTCTTATTCCCTACCTATCAGATTATATTGTGATAATAAAGCTGCTATCAGCATTGCTCAAAATCCTGTCCATCATGACAGAACAAAACATGTGGAAGTCGATCGTCACTTTATCAAAGAAAAATTAGAAGACGGTAGTGTATGCTTGTCATATATACCTACCAAGGAACAAACGGCAGACATTCTCACCAAAGGTTTACTTAAGCCGACCTTTGAGGATTTGATCAGCAAGTTGGGAATGATCAATATATATCTCCCAACTTGAGGGGGAGTGTAGAATATTCTAGATTATCATTTATTACTTCCTTGCTATCTGTTCCCTTATTTATTAATGTCTCTTGTTATTGTAAATAAGCCTCTTAGTTTACTGTTGCTATTTATTAGCATTGTTCTTTGTACTCAATATAAATAGGACCTATTGGGTCTTTCAATGTAATCAATCAATAGTGTTATACAGCAAAACACTCAACACTCTTCCTTTTTCATCAGTAAAGGAAAAATTTAGACAAAGAGAGCCACCAATGGTTTAAAATGAGAACAAAGGGAAGACACGTTAAAAAGTTTTTATACCTTCTCCGGTAGCAATCAAAGAAAGGGCATGAGCAGGGGACAGCACAACTTCTTCTTTGATTCCTTCAACATAAGTCCCCTGTCACCATTATATACCTTGCATGAGTCATTATAAGAATCAAATAATTGGCATTTCAGGCCTCCTTTAAGCAATATGTAACATAAGAGAAATAAGTACAGAAAGATGTCGGTAAGTAACAAATGCCAACATCACAAATCACATTACTCATTACCACTTGGAGCAGTAGCAATAAATTAGAGGCATTGAAGCTAAGATTTGTGGTCATGATGACAAATAACAAAACAAAATTATGTATAAACTGGATGAATACAGTCACTCCACAACTTGATAAATATGAAAAGAATATTATTATAGGAAACTTCACAAAGGAAAGGGACTTCATAACTATGTCAGTCAGAAATATTATTTATTTTATTTTATAAACATAGTATATAGTATTTTAGAAAAAAAATTATCATTATAAGGAATCTGATTTATTAATGAAAATATTCAGCTTCATATGGAAATTATTTTTCTTATCCCAGCAGAATAAGGTTATGAAGGAATTACCCTACATATTAGATACCATTACAAGGCATCCAGGATTTTCTATTTAGTAAACTTATTTTTTAATTTCAATCTCAAGTTAATATATTTAATTAGTGAATCTTGTTGCATTATTCAGCTCCAAATGTAATTGAAGTGTCATATCGCAGCAGAATATGAAGGATTATGAAGGAATTACTATGCATTATATGAGGAATCCAGTATGTGCAAGCTTAGAAGAATTATATTTTACTTTCAATTTCATGTTTTTTTTGCTTACAAAGGAGACCTATGACCTAGTGTGAGGAAGGGGGGGAGTGTATAGACTGAAGTGGAAGCAAACCGGCCTAGCGGGGATTCAATCATGTGATCAAGTAGTTCTTAAAGGGATTCAACGTCACTTGAGCCAAGGCTCTTGGGTCAAGCTAGTTTAATTAGTGAAATTTGTCTGTCCTGTTTTTCACCTCCTCATCCTCCTTCTCCTTTTCTTCTCGCTTTTCATCTTCTCTCCTCTCTATTTTGCATAAATTGCAATTTAAAGTGTAGTTCCACACCAACTGGTCTACAAGAAGGGGGAAGGGGGACCCTCATGTGAAACACAAAAACACATTAGAAATCAGCACTAACGAGAACAAGATAAAAGTTCAGTCAGTGATGATTCTTCCAATTTAAGTAATGGCACTGAGAATTAGGTTTTAAGTAATTATATTTTTTATTGATATCAAATTGAATTTAGGATCTCTCCCAGTAGAATTAGGATTGCTTTAGAAATCAGCTTCATACTAGAATCAGAAGTGTATGGGCCTTGCAACTGTTAGAATTATGGTTGTCAAAATCACATTAGAAAACACCACATCAATCTAAAATCCTATTATTTAGAGTCTCAATTTTTTCCTCCTTCCTACTTAAACCTTATAATTTCAACAGCAAACATTCAGACTTCCAGAGTTAAGGATAAATTGATTCTGTTAAATTCACCCAAGTGAAACTTTTTACAATGAGAACAAGGAGCCAACAGAGTGTGCTTTAGGAAAAGGACTCTCGGCTAAGCTACTGTTGACATGAAGAACAGAAAATGAACAATGCCAAAATGACCAGCTCTAAACTATCCAATATTAATATATATAAAACCTGAGCATCCTCTCGTATTCTTAGGTTCTGCCCAATTGGATCCAGCAAGTCATTAATGACCTACAACAAGAGCAGAAAAAAATGTAAACTGATACACATTAAGATTTATGGACGAGGATAGATTCATGCCTGTAGGCCTTATTTACATAGAAATTTGAGGGGAGGGGAGCAAGAAATAAAATAAATAGCTCTAATGATCAGGCTTGCATTTACAAGTCAAATTGGAGATAACATTTTTCCCAAAGATATTTGAAACAATTATTTTTTTTCTAAGCACACTTTCCTTATGGTTATACTCCCTAACAAGTAGCAATTAAGGCAACCAAGATAAATCTTTGCCAAAATTATTTGAAGTCCATCACAAGGATTATTTGTGACCATGTTGCTGCTAAACTTAATAACTATACTGTTCTTTTTCTCTTTTTTTTGATAAACATAACTATACTGTTCTTTATCACTGTTAAATTAGTCTGGTTTCAAACTTGTATGCTTCTACTTGTATTCGATCACTCTCACATAATTGTCCACCAAAAGTTTTTGTTAACAATGGATGGCCATCCTATTGCACTTGCAATCATTTCACATCAAGTTTATGTCACCTCCGGATATAAATAAACATTTTTTATCCTTTTTAATGTCATCACTTATCTAGATTGTGTCCCTCATGCAGCCGGATCCTATTCTCAGACAATGATGGATTTAATCTGGTCATCATTCTTGCAAATATAATGACTAATTCCCCAATATAGGTATTACAAGTTTCATAAAGATGAGAGAAGTCAAGAAAACACAGTACATGATGCTAACCTCATTGTAAATCTCAAGATATGAGACTCGGAGAAGGAATTCTCGTCCAGGAGTCTGAAAATGACAAACACAAACTATCAAGGATATGAAAGGATTTATAGCTAACTTTGGAAAACTTAACTCTTTACCTCCTGTATAATACTAAAGACATCCTTCACTGCAAGTGGGATAACTCCAGGTGACTTCTGCTCCCCCTGCGAAAAATATATAGCAAAATTTAGAAAGTATATGGATGAAAAAAGAAAATAAGATTTTTAAATTTCAAAGGGATGCCCCAGCTACTCTACGGTCAACCAACATAAAGTCCTAAAAGAGAAAGGACGACTGTTGTTCTGCAGAATGATCACCTTATTATTTAAAGGAGAAAATTTTTACTTTTGCTTAGGCAACAGCTTCATGCTATAAGATCAAAGAAAATTTGATCAAGACTTTTTTGTTTTACATGTGTAAGGGACAAGATCAAATGGCGAATGATTACTACTATATTCTCATATGACCTGGCCTCTTCATCTTTCTTCCCAATTCTGTTTCTGACATCTACTCAGATATGCTTTGAACAGCATTGCTTACCTGGAATAGATGATTCCGCAATGGTAAAAAGTTGATACCATTTTGTTTGATGCAGAATATTTGGTCGAAAAATATAGACTATCTCTTATCATAATTTGAGTTTATTGTCTTGATTCTAGTTTTTAGCTCTTGTGAATATTGTGTTCACTTTACAATATTTTATTATTTTCATACCACGGGAACAGCATCACCCAATAAGCTCCTAGACTCCTAGTCCACACTGATGCAGATGATTAGCCCACATAACTTCAGGGTTAGTTACTTGATATCACTCTCCAACATCATGAATTTTCACTATGCGACTAGATTTATAACACATCTGACCAAAGTAAACAAGAATGTGTCCTTTTTTTCAAACTAGTTTCTGTAAAATTTATCCCAAACAAACCAGAAGATTTAAGAGAATAAAACTATAATGGAGATTGCAAAATAACAAGGATGTATTAATGTTACAAATCCTGCTGCTAGTGCTAACTACTTCATTAAGAAAATAGTGATACATCCCATTCCACCGGTTTGTCTTGCAGATGTGTCAACAAAAGTGTAGGATTCATTACAGGTTGAGCTATCAAACACATTTCCACGTTGCAAATCTCAGAAATAAAATAACGCAAAGTTCTAGTGCCACACATGATCGCACTTCTAGAGAGATGATTAAATATTTAGACTAACTTACATGCATGGTATGAGTCTTTCCACTACTGGTAACCCCATATGCAAAAACAGTACCTGCAGATCAGTAAAGCAATTGTCAGCCAATAACCACATCGAGTGCCATGTTTGGAGAACACAGACAGACAGACTCAGTAAGAGAGTGGTTATCAATATGTTTTGCAAGAAAATAATAATAAGATTCCACCTTGGAAATGACATAAAAAATTTATACGACCAGTGCCTTATTTAGGAGGAAAAGACTACTTAATCCCTTTTAAAAAGACTACTTAATGTACACAAGTATAACCAACAGCAAAAACATTACCATTAATCCCTTCCATGGCACCACTGACAACATGCTGAGCAGCCACATCATAAACATGCCGAGTTGTTGTTGCAGGCCCAAATACCTTATCTGCCACACACAAAATATATTAACAAGAAATAACAGAGAAGGAAAACATAAATACAACCAGTAATGTACCCTGCAAATAGTGACACAATTCTGAAGCCACAAAAAGTCACAACCCTCGAATAAATTTTGTACCATTGATCTCTGAAACTAGGCTTGGCAAAAAGGAGTCAACCCATCGGTTTGACTCGTAACCCAGCTAAAATGAGCCGGGTTGGGTTAGGAAAAATGAGTTAGCAACTCGAGTCAGCCCGACTCGTTTTAGCTCGAAAAAAACTGAGTCAACCCACGGGTCAAACGGGTTGGCTCGCAGGTTATGTTTTTTTTTTAATATAAAAGTATAAAAATTAATGAAGATAAATGGAAAGCTAAAACCTAAAATTCCAATTCCAAAGACCCAAACAAAAATACCCTGCAGCTGCCAATAAGTCCAAAACTGTGCATTAAGGACCTTTTTTATAGTATGTGTGACAGTGTGAATGTGGTGCCAACTGCCAATAAGTCCAAGTCCAAATGCAAAAAATTTTATGGTTTATCTGTATAATGTCTTTGTATTGATTAATAATTTAGGAAAAAAATTTAGAAGTTATAGCATCAGTGGAATTTTTTTTTTTTTTCATTTTTTCGAGCCAACCCTAACCCGGGTCGGGTTGGGTTGAGTTTTCTGGCTCGTTTATTTTTAGAGCCAACCCTAACTCGGTTCGTTTTTTTCGGGTTGAACACGGGTTGAGTCGGGTTGAGCCGGATTGACCCGTTTTGCCAACCCTATCTGAAACAGCTTTCCCAAACAATAGCATAGCACAGATTAAAAGTTGTGACATTTTGTAATTTCAAAGTTGTGACTATAGCCGGACTACAAGGCAGTCTAACACATTCTATCAACTAACATCCTTCCAAATATTTATTTAAAAATAAAAAAATAATAATAATAAAAAACTCAAATATAATGTTATGTACATATGGTTGGATTGCTTAAACAGAAAATGAACCAAAAATTCGGCTCACTCCAATATGTTTTAACTTTCAATTTGTATGTTGATTAACAAAGTACCAAATTAATTTACCTACATCTTGATACTTGATCAAGTATAAGTAGATTATCGGTTAAATTAGTTTGATAATTGATTAATTAATGGGAAAAATGTTTCTCCCGTGACATCATATAAAATTATCTTCTACAACTCAAGTATCGTCATTTTGCGGTTTGTGAAAACAATGCAGGACATTTTAATAATTTACTATCTTTTTATTTCATGTAATTTTACTAAAATATCATGCATTTTTTCTCAAATCCTTAAAACGATATTGTTTAGGGATTGTTAAATATAAATTTATATCATGTTTCTCATGTTGCAGAAAAAACGTTAATCCCTTAATTAATATCTAAATTAAAATAGCACACACACTGCTTCGCCAAGCCGCACAAAGTTGCCATTTTCCCAACATAAATTCGCCCTAACCATTATCAAAGTGAGCTAAGCCAGGTGGTATTTTTTTTTTTTTTTGGAACAAAATCATTTTGAATGAAATAAAGGAAATACGTAATTAACTATGGGTGCGTTTTGTCTGCACTGAAGTGAATGCATATAAGTTATCAGTATTGAGCTCAAACAAAGTCATTTTGAGATAGAAATTAAGGTATTTTTATAATTTTAATTTACTTCAAGTTATAATAATCTTTATTATTATATTTTTTTTAATTTTTTAATTCCAAAACGACGGTAGTAGAAATATTGTTCTGATTAACAAATTACCAAAAACCATGGCATAATTTAGTAATAGACTTTTTATTTATTTATTTATATGAACAGTTAGTAATTACTGCAAAAAAAAAAAAAAAAGATTAAGAATACTAACCAAAACCATAAGCAAGGGAAGGATTGAACTCATTTCTCACTACATGATCTCCATCTGCGTACCACGCCACTTCGTCCCCTTTATTAATTTCTCTGACACTGTCCAAAACCAAAACACAAAACCACAAAATTAATTATAAAAATAAATAAAAAATAACAAAAGAGACACTACAAGGAAATGAAACGAACGAACCTGAGGGGTCGAAACCGGATGGTGACAGAGACATTCTCCTTGGCCTTGCTGACGTCAGAGGCGCTGGTGGCCGCTACAGGGGATACAGACAATTTCGGCGACGGTCTCGACGACGTCGACGACGACGACGGTGTGGTAGGTCTTCCGCCGGGTTTTGTGCTGGCCGCCGGAGACTTCCGTGACCGGAGAGGCGAGACGGTGGAGGAGGCTCTCTGGGAGGAGCGAGTGTAGCCGGCGGCGGAAGACATTGACGGAGAAGAAGATGTGAGCTCTGGAAGAAACAATGTTTTAGAGAGAGAAAGTGAGAGTGAGTGTGTGCATGAGAGAGAGAGAGAGAGGTCACGTGCCGGCCATGAAAATGCAGACTTTGGAGTTTGCACTGTGCTTGTTGTTGGCTTTGGCCACAAAGCTCCCTCCAAAAAGAGCCAATTTTTTTTGTTTTGATTTCTTTTGTGATTTTTTTTTTTTTTCGTGTCAAAAAGCTAATATCATGATTTGAAAATTAGAGAGAATATTTTTTAGTGCTGGACCATAAAGGAGTAAATTTTCAATTCGATAAATAAATATGTTTTTACTAAAATCAGAAATAAGCTAAACTCATTTTATATTTAAAAAGTAGCACATTTTCAGTGCTATAAAAATACATATATTCTTACCAAAAATAAAAATAATTGATTAAAATAATTATAAAAGTAGAGATAATATAGATAGATTACATTTTATTATATTTAATCCATCTTGTAATACTGAAATATTTGCTAAATAATTATAAGACAATTTTTTTGGCTTGATTTTATTTGTGATTTTTTTTCTCATATTTAAATAATTAGCAGAGTTGAAATTTTTATTTGAGTGAAATGTCAGAAAAGAGCAGGGACAGTGGTGGGGTAATGTATTGTGTTGTGTTGTGTTGTAATGTAATGTAATGTAATGGAGTATGGTAACGGTGCTTTTTGTCTCTTCACTTCACGGAGTGTCACAGTTGTTGGTTTGTTAGCTTTTCTGGCAAAAAGAGATTTAAAAACTCTGTTACAGGAAAAGGGTCATTGCCTTTCGTTGACGGACAAATTGAACCCTTCAACCAATAAACAAAAATTTAAAAAAACAAATGAATTTTGTTGTAAATGTATCTAGGATATAAATATGTTAAATTAGACTAAGTTTTTACTTAAATAAGTTATGTCTGTATGAAAAATATTGGATATGGTCGGGTTTATTAGCCTATGTAGGCCCCAAATTATAAGTCTAGTCTATATTTAAAAAATAAAAGTGTTGGTCTAGACCTGTTAGTCAGTTTAAGCCTATTAAACATTCAACAATTAAAAGAATAATTAAAATGATATTATTTTATTATTCAAAATTGTTAAAATAATAATTTTATTTAAAATATATAATATAATATAGACCATCTTGAAGGCTTATAGTACAAAAAAATCTATGATATATTTTCTAAATAAATTTTTGTAAAGGGCCTGTGTCTGTTCTATTTTACTATTTGTAGTAAACCAAATCTGATCTAATATAAGTTAAGTCATAAGCCCTTATGGGCTAACCTAAGCCATTTATACCCTAAATGTAGCACACTATCCGTCATTTTTATTAACTAAGTCAGTCTAAGTTTATTTATTTAAAAAAATTAGGTGATTAAAAAATTTTAGACTAAATAAATCTACCTCTTTTATTAAATAATATATAATATAATATGTTATTATTATCAATTTATCACAAAATAAATTTTTTAAATATTCTTTTAGGCTAAATTAAATTATTAAAATGACTTATATTAAATTTTAAATTTATATTTAGAAAACAAGGTGGACCATTTATTTATAAGACGTCAGAACCAAGCCAGGGCATTGTCTCGTTTGTAATAAATCCTAAGTAGTAAGTACCCAATTTTAACTTGGATCTATCTTTGGTAGCCAAAACAAACAAATAAATATAAATATAAACATTTCAGGATCTTTCATTTAAATAATCCCTTCTCTTCGACAAATTTTACTAAGCATAACAATCACAATAATAATGTCATTAATAATTTTGTTATTATTATAAAATATAAATATAAACATTTCGTTATCTTTCATTTAAATAACCCCTTCTCTTCGACAAATTTTACTAACCATAACAATTACAATGATAATGTCATTAATAATTGTAAACCAAAAAAATGTCATTAATAATTTTGTTAGAGGAATATTAATGTCAAGTAACAGGATATTAAATTTTTTTTCTACACAAACATATTTTAGGGAATCCTACCATAAAAAACAAAAAAAATGTCTGCACACTTGTCGACGAGTCAATAGTAAATTTGTTAGCCATCATGTTACTTGACATGTACATTTCCCATTTTGTTATTTTTATAAAAGATGACAGTTGAATGTCGGATGTGAAGTTGATATAAATTTTATTTTCTAGTGTATTTTTTAAGATATTAACCGATGGTTAAAGACCCAACTAATTCGATTTAGTGTCTCTACCTCTGTACTTCTTTAGAAATTGTAACTCAGATTCAAATCCATTATTCTTTGAGACGTAAAATCTTAAAATTTAATTAGTTCGTCACTAAACTAACAATTCTTAAATATTTATGGAATATTCTAAAGGTTCGCTTTTTTTTGCAGTTTCTGCAGTAAACTCAATACGATATTGTTTTGAGACGAAAATTATGGTATTTTTGTAATTTTAATTTATTTCAGGGTTATAATAGTTATTATATTTATAATTTTTAAGATTTTAATACCAAAACGATGTCGTTTTGAAAATAAATGCAGATAATTTATCTGTATTAATTGTAGAAATATTTTTCCCATATTCTAATTGTTGCATCATACATTTTTTGTGTTAATCAATATTAACTCATTTTTATATAATAGGGAAAAGTTAAAAAAAATTACCATAGCTTATCATGTTGTCACTTTAAGTTAGCACCGACTCGACACGCGACACGACACGACACTCCGACACGTCAATCTTAAAAAAATATGAATTTCGACACGTTCCGACACGTTTTAATATTAAATAATATTTTAAATTTATATAGTGTATATTTCATTTAATATTCAATAATTTAACAAAAAAATAAAACTAAACTAATAATATCCATCAATTTAACAAAAAAAAAAAATCATTTCCACAATACCATATTACATTGATCTAAAGCAAAAATAATAGCATATCCATACAAAAAACATAAAACATGGAGATTATAGATTACCTTCATGGAACATTTTCATCTAGAATAACATTTGACTCCATCTATGGCTCATCAAGTGAAAGAGTAGCAACTTCAAGAATTCCAACATCTTCAAATGTATCAAATGTATCTCCATCAAATGTATCAAATATTAAAAAATATTCTTGACATAAAATGGATGTGAACCAAAGCCATAGGATACAATTCGATAAAACACTTCAAATTGCACGGTTTCGAATTTATCATAATTTAAGTAATCACTTATTTATCAAAGAATTCATCAGGAGAAAGTAAATAATTTCAAGAAAGGAGAAAAGTAATCATCCTAGAACAACCATAATAACAGAAACAGAACAGAGAACAAAAGCAAGGTTTATATGACCCAAAAGAAAATACCTATTTAGTGTAAGAGAAAGAAGCACCGGCGAAGAGGGATTTCTTGGTTCAGCGCCGGCGAAGAGGGAAATCGGCGACGCAGAAATGGCACCGCGAGCCGTTAAGTTGTCGGCGAGAGAGAGATGGAAAATGGGTAAAGAACACAAAGCCAGAAGAGACGCGAGAAGAAGCACACCGCGAGCCGTACGTTTTTTACTTTCCCAAATCCTTAATAATATTTAATTTTATAAATATATTTAATTTTTCTAAAATATTTAAATTTTTTTTAAAATATCATGTTTTTTACGAAAATGTCATTTGACCGTGTCGGACACGGTCAAATTCGCGTGTCGGAATAGTCAACGTGTCGGAAAAATAGTCAACGTGTCCGACACCGTGTCCGACACCGTGTCCGACACCGTGTCGGAGCGTGTCAGCGTGTCGGACCCGACTCTTCCTGTTTTTTCAAGTGTCGGTGCTTCCTTAGTCACTTATATCTATACTTTATTTTTTATTATTTACCTATTGTGGTTTTTTATTCAAATTCATCTATAATACCATTAAAAATTAGGCTAATCTATTCATTTATTCAATGAATAATTAACAAACCATGGTAGAATAATTAATTAAAATTATAAAGAGATATGAGATAAAAGAAAATAAACCTATTCGACTTGCTATGAGGAAACTCAAAAAGCTCATTCTAAATGAAGTATGTAAAAGTTGAAAACACTTCATATAATTACCTCTTTTATCACTTGTTCCCTTGTATTTGTTTTAATTACTTATCTTTTCTGTGATATTTTAACTGTTCATGGGGGAAAATGGATATGGACAAATTAACTTAATCTTCTTTAAAACTTATTATCATAAAATCAATTTCTTATTTAAATATGTTAACTGACGGTGATTTTAAAATAACATATTTTGCTTAGATTCTATAAAAATACTTTTATATAATAAATTACTTAAATAAATATAAAAGGATTTGAAATATTTCCAGTGAATAAAAAGGTATTTTTGTGTCCAAATTACGAAATAAATCAAAAATGAAAATGCTTGAATTATAACTTTTATTAATAAAAGCTGTCTTTACTGAAAAAAATGAATTAGCTGCTTTTAATCATCCCAAACATATTGCAAAAAAAGTGTAAACAACTTTTACTATAAAAAGAGCTATATTTAAGCTAATTAATTAAAACTAAATATGCACCCTTAAAGGCTCAAACCCAAAATAATCAAGTCAAAGACAATTATGGTATCATTGGAAGTTAAGAAATTAAAAGGTCAAATTAGAAATCAACTTTATCAAGTATATACTGCCATTTTTATGTGTATACATGGGGAATCTCCTGCCATAGACTCATCAAGTTATGTGCTTTAATTTTTTTATTTTAAAAAAATGTAGGCCCACTGTTGCAAACTATCAATCTCGGTTGTCACTGTAGAGGTATAAAGTTCATATACATATTTAGGGGTGTTAACGGGTCGAGCTGAGTTTTGGTCTTAAAAGGCTAAGTTTGTGTTTAAACGAGTCAGTCTGACCAAGCTTATTACTTATTACAAATATAATTATAAGCCTGTGGCCTGACTTATTTACAAAAAATAAAAGTCTGGTTTAGCCTGTTAGTCTGTTTAAAAAAAATAAGGCAACAAATTTTATCCAAACAGAAT